ATACTATTTTTTGATAATAAAATTCTCGAGTGAAGCCTATTAAACACATTATAATAAAAATAAATTTAATTATGAATAATAACAAAAAAATCAGACTGTATAATTTCATTTTTAATTTAATCTACTTTGATATATTCATCTCATATTTTGTAGATAAATAATTATATTTATTTAAAAAAAAAATAAAAATAAAATTTAAATTATAATTTTAACATTCTTTTATTATTATTTTTCTATAAATTTACTAATCAAAATATTTTTAAATTATTTCAATATTATAGTAATAATATAATAATTTTAATAATAATAATGTTATAAAAAAACATCTAAAAAATTAATAGTATAATTAACAAAATTTAAAATCTAACATAATCACTAATTAGATGTAATTTATCTAAGATTATTCTATTTTTAACTATGGAATTTAAAAATGTCTTGTAAATTGCTTCTAAATTGTTCAAAATCTAATGCAATTATTTAGTAGAATTGTTCACTTTAATTGATCTTCTTCCATACGACGGAATTGCATTTAAGTCCAGAGCCAAACCCGATTTGGAGGACGGTGTCTCCTTTCTTAAGAGTTTGGACTCGTTCCATGAACTTGAACTCGTACCACACCGAGCTCGAAGAAGTGTTTCCAAACCTGTAGAGTGCTGCTCTTGATGGGTAACAATCTTCATCGGTCAGTTCCATGTTCTCTTGTAATCCGTCGATAATTGCTCTTCCGCCAGCGTGGATACAAAATCCTTGGAATGTTTCTCTGAAATTAGGTTTGAACATATCCTGCTTGCCTCTCTTCCCAATTTTATGTAAAAGTAAGTCATAAGCGTACCTCAGTATATCTCTCCAACTCATCACCTGTGGCATTAAAACGTTCAAATTGCTCAACAATGCCCGTGAGACACATTTGAATAATTCTCTTCCGATTTTAGTACCAACAATACCTTGGTCATCCTCGTCTTGGAAAATTGAGTGGTAAGCGTCATCGAATTTACAATGACTAATTCTGACTGTGGTCATCAATTTGTAAGGTGCGCTGAATCGGTATTTGGGCTTGTTAGAGAGGAGAATGGCTGCTCCTCCCATTCTGAACAACGTGTCGGACAACAATTTTCCTCTGACCTGTCCACCGTACCACCCTCGTGTGATGTTCTCGGTAGAATACACCAACACGTTGACGTTCTTGTAACACCTCAATATATCTCGAGCAAGGTCCAATGAGATCAACCCAGCACTACACCCCATTCCACCAAGTGAATAGTTCTTGCACGTGGTTTTAACTTTATAAATGTTCATTATCATGGCAGCTAAAGATGGGGTCGGGGCAAACATTGAGCAATTCGAAACGATGAAGTCGATGTCCTTCGTCGGGTCAATCTTGTTAGCTTTAAATAATTCATCACATGCAAGTCTTATTGAAACTTCCAACTCATCACGCCCTTCCTTGTATGAGTCATCAGGGGGGATTGACTTAAAGGCGTGGGGCAGAGCGGTTTCATCACCAAGACCAGTCCGTGGTATCATTCTCTCAAGAAAAGCAAGTGACTCGGGGTTAAACACTTTAATATCGTGGGTATATTGCGCAAACTCTTTTTGGGTGACTCGGTATTCCTTTGGTGGAGTTGCAGTTGCAAACCCTACTAGGAATATGTCTGGGTCTCTTGCTGAGAAGTACCACACAGTGACTGCGAATACCAAGAAAATGGCTCCAGCAGCTGCGTAGAGGAAAGTATTGTTTTCTTGCGAAAAAAGAGGGTATTGTGGGTTGTAAACAGAGTAAAGTTGGTGAAGAGCCAAATACCCTAATCCACACAATAGAAGGGCGATAGTAATTTTGACTATCAAATCGATTAAAGTGGTCAATGGAGAGTACCTTGTGACGTTACTTAATATTTTTGGAAGCTCGGGGTTCTGTTCGCCCACTTCAGAAGGGTACCAGTAGGGACGAAGGGAACGCTCTTGCTTCTCTTTTTCTTCTTTGGTCAGCTCTTTTTTTGGTGCGGGAGACCCTTCAGACTTTGGAAGTTCCTTGGGCAGTACTTCGGTGGAAGTCATCTGAATTTCTAATTTGAAACTCTACACCTTTTCAAATCATAAATCTCTCCCTACCTCAAAAAGAGGTAATGTATCTCACGACAGCAGAAACAATACTCAAACTAAAAGTTTAAGTATTATGATGGTTTGGTATGGTTTTTAGTTTGTTTCGAAGTAGAAATTGGGCAAAAAGTTGTCGTGTTTCAAAAAAAAAACTGTCAAATAAAATATGGCATTTTTATTGTATTTGTGTTATTTTTTCTTGAAATTTTATTGTTAAAAAAGAATACTATAAATTTAATCTAATAATTATAGTTTTTTATGATATTTCAATAATTTTCGATTACTTTGGTAAAACCCATTTATTGACATAATTAAGACGTAAAATTATTGTACCAAATTAACAACAGCTAAAGACCAACAGAAAATAGTCGTACAGCAAGACAATTGTCGTACACTTGTGATTTTAGTATCAAACAAACCAAAAAATCGGGAATATTTTTTCACATATAAAATTTGACTAAACAATCAGGAAAATAATTGGGTTTTGAAAAAATAAAAACCCGACTTTATACAGAAAAATACCATAAAACAATGTGTACGACTATTTTCTGCTGTACGACAGTTTTCTGGTGCTCTTTATCTAAACATTCTTAACTATAATATCACAATGTCTTCTTTGTCCAGCAAACAGAGTCATAACTCCAAAGAATTGTACCTCTAAAAATGAGGTATCAAGAATGATCGATTTTAAACAATAAAACATGAAAAACTGTTATATAAAGAATTGTTGTTGTTGTTGTTGTTTGTTTGTTTTTTATCTAGAAAAAGCGAATATTGAATATTTTACTAATAACTAAATCAAAAAAAAAACATAAACAAGTGGCGAATAGATCAGGCTAAATTTATACACCGCGCTCCCTGTATATTATATATAATATTGAAGTTTGAATAATAACACCGCAATTATTGACTGTTGAACTTATATGAACTGATTAATCAAACTATTCAGACATATTTCAAATATGTCTGAATTTTTGTTGTCATTCAAGTGACAACAAAAAATAATGATGAATAAAAGACTGAAATGATACCTTTACTTTTGACATTAAAATGATCATTGAATGCTCTGCACAACAGTTTAATTAAATATGATTTAACTGTTTTATCATTGGAGTTGTAGTATATGACTATTTTTTGTATTCTCAAATCAATTTCTATGGTGAATTTACAATTAAGTTGTGGCTGTTCACTCTTTTGATTAATATGAATATGTATTGAACCACCAGGAAGGCCAAATAATGCAGCATTTTCTCTTTCTAAACCATGATACTTTTTGTATCATTTCTTGATTTGTTAAATCAGTTTAAACAAATAATTAGCTAGGAAATATAATTAGAAAGACGCTTTAACAAATGATATGTATTTACTTTAATTTTTATTTTGAATTGGCCTGCTTTAATCATTTATATTGTCTTTCATTTCATTTTTGTTGAAACGAAAGATTTTGTCTTTTTCTGGTTTTTGCGTTGACAACCGTTTAAACTTTATTTCATACTGACCAGTACACATTTTGTTCTTGATAATATCAACTGATGTTGATATTATCTCTTTTATAAAAATAAATATTGTATTAATTGTAATGAAAAAAAATATGATTTAATTAATTTTTATGTGGTTTTCATATTATTACCAATATTAATAATTATTCTAAAATTTATAAACCTCGAGGTTTTACATAAGGTTCAATGTTCATAATGTACAGATACAGGAAAAACCAGTGACCAGACTAAATTAAGCTGTTTTATTTTTAATGTAAAGTTTTCTTGTAAAAAAAATCCCCAAATAATCAGGTTTTTTTGAAAAAAACCTGATTATTTGGTTGTGTTGGTTTATTTTCAAAAACCAGGGACCAAGTATTTATAGACACACTGTTTTTTAAATAAAATAGAAAAACCATAAAATATGAAACTCTTAAATTAATCATTCAGAGTTGTCTCGTTTGTTAATGCCCAGCCGAGCCAATGTAAAATTTGTTCTTTATATTGATTTATCTTCTGATGTTTAATACGTTCAATTGTTATCAATCATTTACTGAATGCCTAACATTCCAATAATTTATTTATTATTTTTTTATTTTCATTTATTGTGTGAGTCACTTTTAATGCTGAACGAAAAGTGACTTATTGAATCAACCAAATGTATAAAGAAAAATTCATTGGTATCTTTGAAAAAATGAATGAACGATTTAATTGAACGGTTGAAGTCGAACATAGTTGAACAAAAGAATAATATTTTATAATTAAATAATAATTAATAATAATAAACTTACTATTATAACTCACATTAAGCTATTTATCATTCATACTTTTACAACACATTCATTTTTTTAATCCCGAAAAATAACCGTTTTTAAGACCAGATAATAAGAAAATTACACATTTATTTATATCTTTGCCCGTTTTATTGTATAAAATCCGCTTAATAATCAATAGCTTAAATTAGTCTGGTCCCTGGTTTTTCCGCTATCTGTTATATAAATTTATTATTATAAAAAGATACATTGATAATGTCAAAAATAATAAAATTTTATTATGCCATACAAAATAACTTGATTTATGTACTACAGTCGATACTCCATTGGATTGGACTACTATCGGATTTGTTTTTTATCCAATCAAATCTTAAACCAATCCGATTTTATAAATTTGAAACCCGGAAATTTATACGTTAAACGTTTAATATATTTATATAATCTTTTTACGCTTTTTGGTTTTGTAAATATAAACATATTTTAAGTAGTTTTTAATTATGAATTAATGTCAAACTATATAATAACGTATTTTGTTGGTTATAAATCAAATAATTTTGTCAAAATCATATATTTTAAAAAAGTAAATTATAAAACATTACCATAGACTTCATCAATTTCTGAATATTCAAAACACATTTCGACCAATTTTTGGTGTTTTTCTTATTGTTCTTTTTTTATCACGGCAATTTTATTTCATTTTCTGTAATCTGTTTTTTAATATCCATTTCACTTTCAAATAAATCTTTGGCCACTTTCATTTTATTTCTTTTTATGGCATCGAACATAAGTGGCATACACATTTCAGATTCTGTCATTGTGGATGGCACATTTTCCATTTGAAGCGCTTACAAATCAATTTGGCTTTCAATTGCAGTAGTTTGATGTGAAATAATATCTCCTGAAAAAATTGAGTGTAACCAATTGTTGGTTATTGTATCATTTGCCACGTTATCTTTCCAACATTTTACCACCATTTTCATTGCTTCACAAACTCTAATTTGTGGTTTTTTAAAATCAATGTGATAATCAGTGTTTTTGCTTTCATTATAACATTTAAGAGTATTGTAAAATATATCAACAATAGTTGATCAATAGTGTTGTTTTAAACATTGAATGATACAAACCTCTAATGGTTGAAACACGCTGGTGGTGTTTGGTGGTAAGTATCGGATAACAATGTTGTTTAAATGAAGTAAATATACATATTTCCCCTTGTTGTCTTTTTTGATATAAGTATATTTGCCGTCATTAATAAATTTGTCCGACTTTAATTGCAGTTTACAAGAACTACAATTATCAACTATTAACAGTACTTGTTTATTGCATTCAATTAAGTTTGTATCCCAATCAATCAACCACTTATGAAATATTTGTTTTGTCATCCAAGATTTGTTCTGAGAAGTATATAGAACTTTCAAGTGTTGAATAGTAATTTCACCAAACCAAAGTGGTTTTTTGGAATTTCCTATAAACAATGGGTCTCTCTTTTTCCCAGACAACGAACAACAAAGTAAAACAGCAATTCTGTCTTTTGGTGTTTTTGTTCCGTGTGTTTTTTGAGTGTTTGACAATGTTTTTATGTGCATTAATCTATACAATAAACCACTTTCTTCGGCATTCCAAACATCGTCTGGGTCATAGTTTGCAATTTCATTTTTTAATTGCTCCATTTCTGTGGTATAATTAAGTGGATTAACATATTCCGACTCACCACTTAATGTCTTTAAAGTAATTCCATGTCTTTTACAAAACTTTTCTGCCCAATCAACACTGCATTTTAATTTATTTTGATTATTTGATTTATTGTAATCCATTGCCATAAGTTGCAGTATTCTGTAAGACACTGGTATATTTTTTTTCTCTTGTATCTAAAAAGGCATTGTATACATCTGTATCCATATCTTTGTCAACAAGCTTTCTGTTTATTTTTTTGAAGTTGATTTTTCTTGTTGGATGCCAACCTTGATGTTTTTTCTAAGTGTTTCTAAGTATATTTCTTTGTTGTATTTATCTTTGATTTTTTCAAGAATTGCAGGTTTTTTCATTTCTGGGTTTGAGTTGTGCCAATCAATTATTTGATTCTTTTGGTGTATAGTTAAGTATGTTGGTTGTTTCTGTTTTTTGACGTACCAAATGTTTATTAATTGTTCTTTAAATCGATTGTTTTTGTTGTTTACACGTATTAATGTTATTTGTTTATGTTTTATTTTTTAGTTTTATGTTTTTAAAAACGGTTTAAGTCAAATAATCATAAAAATGCCAAAAAATAAAATAAATAAAAATAAATATTTTTTTTTTATTTTCAAATCCTTGGGAGAAACTATTTTCCCATCATTCCAATCCGATAGAGTATTGACTGTACTGTCATATCTTTGTTAAAATTTTTAAATTGTTAATTAAGTTGTTATGATGATTGATGAAACACTATCAATAAATAATTGTAATCGGTTAATGTTCAAGTGTTGTTGATGTTAAGTTGAAAACGTCTTTATGTTATTAGTTATTATTTCTGTTGTTTATAAAATCCCCAGCATTTAATAACGAATGCTTATTAAATTTAAATTGACTAAAAATAAAATAAATCATTGATGTAAAAATTAATTAATTAATTTAATAATTTTTATTAAAATGTTTTGTTAGTTTTTAAAAAAATATAACAACGAAATATTAAAAATGTTTTCTTTTTAGTTATTTTACCCAGTGATTGATTGAATTATCATGTTTTTCAATGATTAAATAAAACATGCAAAATTTGGGATTAAGTTCCAAATAACTCTCGTTTGAATGTATTTTTATTGAAATGTTTTTCATTTTTTATAGAAAAATTGAGTTTTGGAATAAAACTCAAAATTAATTAATTAATAAAATGAACTAAACCTCATTGGCATTATTTTCTTATTGGTATTATAAAAACGATTATAATTTTATATCCAACTGATTGATATTATTGTTTTTCAATATAAAAGACACAAGTTGGCTGTTTATAATTTTTTAATTGGAATAAAGAGTTTTTATTGTAGATTTTATAGAAAAAAACTATAATTTGTATTATACAATAAAAATATCATTGTGTTATCCCAAACCCGCTATTATTTTAATTACAATTAAATTTTTTTTCATATTCCAACAGTTTACAATGATTAATAGTGTGATGTGTAATATTTAGTCAAATCAAATGATTTTATTGTTTTTTAGTGTGTTATCAGTCTTAAATTGCAGCTAAAGAATTCCATCAAACTTCAATATAAAACATCACATTTATTTGGTCGAATTCCCGTTTGTCTGCCAATTAATTATTAAATATTCTTCAATTTATAGATAAATAAAAGACTACTTGGATATATAAACTCATAGCGCAAAAGAGAGATGTGGTAACATCTTTTTTCAATTTGTGGGAGTAAAAAAGAACTATGAAATATTTTAATCATCATGACGAAAACAAAAGAGCCAAACAAGCTTGCCTTAGCAAAGCGTATATCCACATCCTTTGAGGGTGAACAGGAGGCTTTATGTATATCATTGCTTATTCGTCATGGTGTTGAGTTCACATTACTTAAACCTCGTAAAACACACACCAACAAAGAAACTTCCAAAGACGCCATTTTTTATACAATTTCGCAGATCCACTTTCCTTCACAAAATGTGACTGTGGATTTCCAGGAGATAATCGCCAAAATAGTGAAAGACTCCAACAAAGCAATCCCTGACTCAAAAAAAGACAAGTCGAAATATGAGAAGAGGAACGCAATTTCAGCGACAAACAATTTCATGTCTGAAATTCTTCTGCGCTTGAACTACACACTCACTTACCGAAAAACACGGGGCACCAGCATCATCCTCAAAATGAACCGGATCAACTCGATCGTGGGAAATGGCATTAACTTAACTTCAAAAGCCATTTCAGACATGGGACGACTCCTCAACTCTTCGTTCAGAGCTGTTTTCAACACTGCTAATATTAAACGGGAAAGTCCAATTAAGTTTGGGATGGAACACGTCATGAAATTCTTTGAAGTGTCAACGCTTCTTCCAACACAAGTCAAAGAGTACATCACAAACTTCTCACTCATTGAAGTGAAGGAAGAACAAAACGAAGGTGTTAATGAGTCCGAGGACAAGAACTCTCAGTCGTCATCGCCCCTTCACTCGACCAATGAAGACGACACCCAAATAAAAAAAGAGGATGACATTACCCAAGTCAATTTAATGCAAGAGAGCACACTTCCAATCAATCAGAGCGACAGTGTTTTTCAAAGTCAGTTATGCTTCAATGAATATTTGGCCCAAGAACAGTTACAAACATTACAATATGTATATGCATACACTGATGAAAATGGGCAACTGGGACAAACGTATTATTCGGTTGTCCCAATAGTAGACGTGATTCCCACAGTTACGGACAAACTTCCTGGTTTGGAGGCTCTTGGGTTAAAGTAATAATCAACATATTCTCTGTTTAAATGAACTTTTTGTGTGATGGTCATGTTGTCGTCAAACTCATTGCAATCTGTAAAACATAAATAAATATCTTATTGAAATTAATTGACACGTGCTACTCAAAAGGACTAAGAAAATAATTCTTGGGATAGAACCAATAAGAAAAAATCGAACTTCAAATAGCAAATGAGCCGGAAGGGAAACAAACAACCGGGTATTCCACCCATCGAAGTGACTTTATCGACGATTTTGTCGGCGTCTAAGGCACTTCCACAACAAATTGAGTCAAACAACTTTTCGGAGATCATCGCCTCCCTTCAAAAGATACTCCTTCCACTCTCTGTGAAATACCCGTCTTTACAATACCACCAAATTTATTTGACGTGTTCCCCATTTCTCGACCTCTTCCAGAAATATCTCCAGACAACCAAAACGGACTTAGACATCATCTCTTCAATTGTCTTGTCGATCCCAGACGCCGTTGTGCGGACGTACTTGTTTATAAATATTTGTATAGCTTCGGTCCATAAAGAACTCCACTGCCCCAATCGAACACTCAGCGCTTTGTTAATGGTTGTTAAAACGGTGAGTGTCCCTCTATTCAGACTCTTCATCTTAAATCATCTGTTCGAGCTTTCTGTGGAGATATATAAGGATAATGAAGTGCTCACAGTACAATATTTACTCGCTCATATTCCATTGTCACTTGCTGCCGTGTCCTTAGTGTTGTCGAACGACAGAATCCCATCGGACCACACTGCACCATTATGTTCAATTGCGTTGAGGCCATTGAGACTTCTGTCGACCATTGGAATTACTCCGCCGCTCTTCAGATCGATTATGAAAACACTCCACCCCGCATTGGTGAGTGCACACAAAACAGCAACGGAATTTTTCTTCCTTATCCTCACACAGACGTTTCAACTCAATTTACAGTTGGTTTGTATGCCAGAGATCATCACGACGTTGACCGCACCACAATGCGACGTCGACTTGAAAATGTGTTTGGGACCCTTCATCGACAAATTGGCGACACTTCCGCCAGAGGAACATTACGACGTGATCAATTTGATGCGTTCGAAAATCGTTGCGAACGTCCAGTCTGCACTAACTCCTGCAAACGATGCCGCGCTGTTAGTGGTGTCTTTATATAAAACAGTACTCAGTTGGGTGAACGCAGAAATGGTCTGTAAATACACGGGAGACACATTCGCTGCTCTTGACATCATTGCGGGGAGTATTCCGGCGCCGACGTCTGTGCAATTCCACATTTGTAGTTCTCTTGAATTAGCAATGAAGAAGATGCCTTTGATGAATGTGCTGAGGACAACCATGATGACAAATTTAGTCGAGAAATTGTCCGAACCCAACAAGAAGAAGATCTCTCGAATGATTATAGAGAATCTCCAAAAGCAGTACCTCTTCCTCAAATCATTTAAAGACGCAGAGTACATATTAGATTTGGTGAAACCGATGTTACACCCGGATTTGAACGATGTTGACGGTATGAATGACCTCTCACTGGGGCTCTCTGTGTTCTCAAGAATTACCATTGGAAACATGGGAGTAGTTCCTCTGACACTCAAATTGATCGACACACACATTGACTTGGCTCTTGGTGAAATTGCGTTGAAATCTGCGGCCGAGGCCGAACTCCGATTAGTCAAAAAAGCGCATTCGGACTCGGAGAAATACGTGTTGTTTCAAAGACTTTTGAGTCGTGTGCAATGCTTGATGAGTAAAGACGTCTCCTCTGCGGTTGGGTTGTCTATGGAAATGGTCTTAGCTGGGGAGAGTGTGTCGTACAAGCACTCCATTTATTTCTATGAAGTTGCCTTGTCGCAGATGGAAATGCTTAGTGACGACTTCTTGCGAGCGGAGTGTCTTGAGAAGATCATTGGTGCGACGAGTTTGATGACACAGAGAGGTGATTATCTTGACTTAGTCAACATGTTACAGAAGTATGCGAAGTCGATCATCAATCGTCCAAGGAAGTGCAAAGAGTTGTTACAAGTCGTTCATTTACTGAAGAGTGGGTCTGACGAGGAGATCAAAAAGATTATAATAGATGTGATGGAAACTGCCAAGAATTGTGAAATGGAGTGTGCGGAGCGATTTAGGGTTGAAGCGATCAATCACTTAGTGTGGTGTGTGAAGAGGGTTGGATTTAGTGACAAAGAGTTTACGACAAAAATGGTTGCCATTGCGCAAGAAGGTCTGAACGACATCTTCCCACAACAAGTCAAAAACGCGTTTCTTAACGCAAAAGCAGCTTTGACTGAATTGAACGCTTTAAGTTGTTGTTTTTAAGTGTGTGAACTGAAAAAGAAATACACAACGAATTACAAATGCAGTTTGAAAACATCGTCGCATTGCACTTTATAAACTCCGTCGTAATTCTCAAGGGTGACGATGATATCACTGTTTACCTTTAACATTGTATGAATTGTTGAGTTGAATATACCCCCCTTTTCTTTGTCCGACTGAACGAAATAATATGTCTTTGCTTCACATCCAACATCATCTTCAATTTGGAAGTGATAGATAATCCCAATGTATTCAGTTGTTCCTCTCCCTTCAGTCGAAGCCTTTCGGATATCATCGTGGACCCACGCTGTTGGAGCTGCTACATATAATTCAGTTGTTGTTGCACTCGACTTCACAGCAGACATGAACTTGCCAAAGTTCTGGTAATTTCCCCACCTTATTGTTAATTCTATAGAAACTAATTTGAAGTCTTGAAACAAACCTTGGGAATGGATTGAGTGTCGCTCGGAAATCCAGTTTATCGCCACCAAACCAACGAGATGCATACACTACGCCTCGATCGGATTTGGGGTCCGAATATAACATGTACTTCTCTGACAATTCCACCGCCTCACCTACACCAAAAAGATTCTGCTTTTGTGGGGGGACAAAATAAGGAGCCGTGACTGTCACAGGAAATTGTGGGACTTCAGGTTTGTCAACTAAGTGCATCATATATAAGTTTTGATTGATGTTCTTTGTCAAATCATTGCGCGCTTGTGGATTGCCAATTATCATCGAATTGTCCATGGTAGATACTCTATACATGTTTGTCTCTGATATCAACGAGAGGAAAGACGTATCAGCCAAGTCATATTTGACGTACACTGTGTGAATAGCATCATTGATATAACAGAAGAGTGTACTTCCTGTTTTGCCTTTTCCATAGTCAACCACCATCCCAATCATCGCTACGAGTTGTTTGGCTTCCGAGATGATCAATTTATATTCTCTTCCAATTTGACTGAATTTAATAACGGTATTGTCTGGGGTATATTCATTAAATAAATCCCAGTTAATTGCAGATTCAACTATTTCACTCATCAACTGCCCTGGCTCAAAAAGAATGATCTTTTGTTGGTCTTTCATCTGTTGTAATGTGTGTTCATCAGGAAGAAGATTGACACCAGTCGTCTTAAAATCGTCAATACCCGTCCAGATGTATTGCTCGTCAAAACACCGCGATGAATTTGCGTATTTTGTTGAGACATAATAATAGCAAAATTTGCCATCTTTTTCTAAACTGTTATTACACAATAGAAAAATGGGTAAAAACTTTAAATAACATGAAAAGTTGTAGTAACAAAACAAACTTAATTCGTACATAAAACCTCTATTGACTGTATATAATGCGGTGGGTATAATACCTTCAGTATCCACTGCCTTCTTATTAACAATACATATGTCCATAGTTTTTTGGTTCTTTGTATTCTGTGAACACACCACTTGAAACAACACAACAAAAAGTATAGCAAATACTATTCGTTCAATTTGATAAACCATTGTATTGAGTTTATCAGTTCACCTGAAATTGTTGAAATGGTATCAAACAAGAATGCAGTGGCATCATTTTTTAACTTCTTTTCTTTGTAAATTGACTGTTTTTATGCTTTTTTTCGATTTTCTATCTAAATTGGTTGTATTATTCAAAAGAAAAACAATTTATTTATAAAACGCTTCAAACATTTGATGTGTTTTATAAATAGACTGATTCATTCAAAATAAAATTAAAACCAAAATAATAGTTTTTCAATTTGCACGGTAATATACAAGAAAAATCCTCAAATAACAATAATTTCACAATTTCTAATCATATTTAAATGCCGTTTAAAAATGTCTATTTTCCGGGATTATTACATAAAAATGGAAACCAAAAATCGATTCAATTATTTTGATTCAACTTGATTTTTAAATACATTTTTACTAGATTGTATGGTTTCTATTTTTAAAACTAAAAAAATCAGGACAAATGACGTTATTAAATTGGGTAAAAAATCGCCAAAAATTCAATGGAATGTAAAAACAATGGATTAAAAATCTTTTTTGTTTCACTATTGTGAAATTGACAATTGATAAATTTAATTCGTTTAAAAAAATGACAAATCAAGTTTGTTATTACCATTAGATTCATAGAATAGAGTCAGTCGGATAACGTTGTTCAGTCCCCAAACGTTGTTCACCTCAGAATCTTCTAAATAACGGCTAAATCTTCTACAAAAAAATATAAATATTAAAATAAAACAATAATAAACATACCAATAACATTTTCTTTTTCATATTATGTTTTTCTTTTTCCAAATCAAAACGAACATAAAACCAACAAAATCATTTAATTTCAAGATCTTCACGTTTCTTGCCGAAATCAACAAACACCCCGGAAACCATGCCAAAATGACGGTCTCAAGTTGAGACCGTTCAATCGGCGAAAGTTGGCTGGTTTCCACTTGCTGCGGTGGAAATGCAGAAGGCGCTCCGTCAGGTCGTTGCAGCACTTAGTCGCCTCTAGTTTGTTAATATATATTTCCAATTCAACCCAATTCAATTCAATTTAATACAAAGAACAAACATCTTTTATTTTTTTAGTTCAAAGATAACCTTTAAGTTCTCTAAAATCAAGGTAAAACTTTAAGTGTTATGTTGGCTATGTTATTCACTCTTTTTTCCTAATGATAAGTCTGTATTTTTTCAAGGGTTTTTATAGTATAATTTATAGTTTTGTATAGAATGTTATAATATTGTTATTTATCGTTCAATTGATACACCAAGTATTTTAACGGATTTAAATTCAACTCCAATACATTTTACTGCAAGTTTTATTCATTTATTATCTTATTTATTTCCGTTATATTTTTTATGAAGAAAATAATAAAAGTTTAAAAATCCATTAGAAACTATATTTTAACTATAAAATACTTATAAATGAAAACTATCAGTTGTTGAATTTAAAAGCTCTGATTTTTTTTTGTAATAAGACCAAGTAAAAAAAATTTAAAAAATTTTAAACATTGTGAGCTTTTAACACGGCTCATAAATGCCTTTTGGCAACATTATTTGAATATAGAATTACAAGAGTCAAGTGCTTTTTGAAAACGCTTGGTTTTAGTAATCACAATAAAGGCTGAACACTTGAATTGTAATTTAGTATGTTTAATGTGTTTGTGTTTTTTTTTTGTTACTATATTTTTGAAAAAAAAAATGTAATTGTTTTATCGTTTGTTTAATGCTTTCAATAAGACGAAGCATTGTAATGCTAGGCTCTTTAGACGGTATCATTACAAAAAGCTTTGAATCAATGAATTTTTTTTTGTGAGTTGAAAAGATTTATATTAAAGCATACCAGAGTCCCTGATATGTTCAAACATATAATTAAATAAACTTGATGTTATATTTTCATTTTCTTGTTGTTCAAAAAGCTTGTAAATTATTCAGTATAAAAATTATGTTTTACTTGTGTTGAAAAGTGTTATTTTTTAATTTTATTTACTCATCCAATTTTTTGTTTTTTATCTTTTCTGAACATATGTTTTTGTAAATAAAAGGAAGATAAATAATAGAGTTAAATTATAACCAAAATGTGGGATTATTAGGGTTGACGTTTTTTGTTTTGGAGTTGCTTTAATTCAATTATTTCTTTTTTTTAACTCTTTTAATTTGTTTTAAAGCGGGAATTGCTAAAAAATAAACTTTAACATGGTAAACATTATTGTTATTTGCCGATAGTTTCTTTTATTGAAGGAACTTTCTATTGTTCTAAAAATATAACACTAAAAAAACAACGTTTGGGGAGTGAACAACGTTAACTGACTGACTCTAATTAAAAAATTTTCAAATGGAAATTAGAAAATAAAAACAGCGAAATTTTCTTAATAGTTTCTGAACCAACCTCGCTCCGTTTATATTTAGTAAATTTTATTATTATTAATAGTAATATGAATAATAAAAGAATTATAGTATTTGACATTAAAACTATTATAAATTTAACTATATTATAGTTAGTAGTATAATGACAAACCAACGGACAGACAAAACTCTTATTTAGAAGAACTTTGAGACTTTAGAGTCAATGGTTGCGAAGATCTCATCAACTGTTCCTTCACCCTCGACTCTGAGGAGCTTTCCGATTGATTGGAAGTAATCGATGACGGGGCAGGTCTCTTCTTTGAATGTTCTGAATCTTTTGATCATCGACTCCATATTGTCATCAGTTCTTCCCGAGTCGACTGCTCTCTTCAGAATTCTTGCTTTCATAGTCTCCTCTTTTACATCAAGGCAAACACAAAGGGCTGAATCGATGCCAGCCTTGTCAGCTTGGGCATACCACGAAGATTTATTTTCTTCATTACGTGGGAACCCGTCGATCAAAAAGACTTTGTGTGTGTCGTTCTTCATGGCGTTCAACAAAAGGGAGACAGTGATGTGTGATGGAACGATCTTTCCCTCCTTGATAAGGGTGTCAATCAACTCGCCAAATTCAGAACCCTCGCGCGCCATTTCTGCACGAAGAAGGTCACCCGCGGAAAGATGTGTGATGGGGTATTTGCTCACCAATTTCTCGCATTGTGTTCCTTTTCCAGCTCCCGGTCCTCCTAAGAAAAAGATGACGTGTTTTTCTGCGAGTGACATATTAAATGTTTTCAGTTGAGTTCCCCTGCTATAATTATGGGTTTGTGGCTCAACTAAAATAGACCACTTTTTATAGCATGTCTATAATTTTATTATAATATAATTATAGCTTTTTGTTTTCATTAAAATAAGAAGAATGTGTAACTTATACGGTTTCACTTTCTTATTCAACTTTGAGGTTTTTTTGTGGTTTGGACTAGTTTTATTTTGGTTTATTTATTATTTAATTTTATATAATTAACAATGTTTAATTATTTTTATAATCACAGTTACACTTAGGTTTGTTGAATTAATTTGTCCTATTCCCAACGTTGTACTTTTTTTAATAAATACACAAACTATAATTTAAATAATTAGTAAAATAGTAATTTTTATCAAAAATTTGAATAAAAACAGAAACAACTTTTGTTACTACCTTTAGTGTTGTTTTTGATAAAAATAATGTAAAAATAAACTATAAAAATAGTACAACAAATATCAACCAATTAAAAAAAAATAAAAAAAATATTGAGAATAAATGCAAATTATTAATTAATAATAGTACAGTAAATAGTATTGACAACAATTGATAATAAGGGTTATGAAGTGATACTACCAGTCTATTCCAATTACTTTCAAAGAAATACTATTTGAAAATCCTTCCTTATTTATTATTCCATTTCCAATAGAATGTATTAATAATCCAATGTCGTGTATATAAGATATGATTTGATGAATTGTTAATTAGTGTGATATGAAGAAACTGAACTAAGTTTCAAATTAGAAACCCCCAAAAATTAAATCGAATAATAATTCACAAAACTTTCTTTGCGATGAAAGCACCACAACTCTCACCACCAACTCAAACTTTACAACAACAACAGAACCAACCAGTGTATACACACAAAATCATTGTAATTCCAGGGGATGGCATTGGTACAGAAGTCATGGCCGAGGCCGAAAAGATTTTTCAAGCGTTAAATATTCCGATCCAACGTGATTATGTCGATTGGGGGATTCCTCACTACCTCAAAACCGGTGCGGTGACTCCAGAAAATTACATCGACATTTGTAAATCATACGACGCCATCCTCTTGGGGTCTTTAGGTGACCCACGGACTCTCCCAGATTACATAACTTTGGAACCCTTAATCCAAATCAGACAACAACTCGACCAATTTTTGTGTTTGCGTCCCGCTCGCCACTTTTCCGGCATTCCAACTCCTCTCAAAAACAGTGAAATAGATGTTCTAGTAGTCCGAGAAAACAGCGAAGGGGAGTACAGTAATGTGGGGGGGTTCTTTAAGACGGGGACCCCTGAGGAGTTTGCTGTTGAAAGTGCGATCCACACGCGGCGTGGGATCGAGAGGGTTGTTCGCTATGCTTTTGAAGCTTCTCGGAAACGGAAGTCGTGTGTGACCTTAGCCACCAAGTCGAACGCGATGAAGTTTGGGATGGTGTTATGGGACACTGTTTTTGAAACAATAGCAATGGAATACCCCGACGTTCAAGCTGAGAAGTATTACATGGATGCGTTATGTGCGGCAATAGTGAAAAACCCTACGAAGTTTGATGTGATCGTTGGGTCGAATTTGTTTTGTGACATCATCAGTGACTTAACTGTTGCCGTCGCAGGTTCTCTTGGTATAGCCCCAAGCGCTAATATTAACCCAGACCGTACTTTCCCATCACTCTTCGAACCCGTCCATGGAAGCGCTTTAGATATTGCAGGAAAAGGAATATGTAACCCTGTCGGGACTATTCGAGCTGCGTCTATGATGTTAGAGTTTCTTGGGTATAGTGAAGAGTCAGTGCTCATCGAAGAGATCATCCAAGATTCTATTGCACAGAAGTTCACAACAATTGACATCGGTGGGGAAAAATCAACGACAGAAGTGGGCGATTTTATAGCGCGCGCAATACGCATGAAAAAGAGTTGCGGCTCTGTGTCAAGTTCCGCGTCAAATAGTAAACAGAGGAGAACGAGACATAAGAATGAATGAATGTATGTGTGTTCTTTGTCCAATCAATTGGAACGAATGAATTTCGGTCTTACTTAGAGTCTAATTGTGACCATTATAGTTAATTTATAGTAAAATAATTATATTATTACTAGTAACACACGTTTTGAAAAAATGGAATTTTATTTTGTTTTTTCCTTATTTTTCCACAAGAAGAAAAATTCAAAAGACGGATATTTTAGGAATGAATTGAAAAATTAATAAATCTTAGTCATATTTGTTAAAACGTGTGAGGTAAAACGTGTAAGAAAATGGGGAATAAATCCAAAAAAAAGTCAAACGAGCATTCAACTTGAAAATGGAACTAAGAAACCCAATGTCGTGTTTCACGGAAGAGCAAAAGAAGCGATTTTTAAATGCATTTAAGCAGTTTGACAAAGACAAAGATAATTTCATCACTTTCCAGGAGATGGCTGGTGCGATTCGTTCGATAGGACTGAATTTGGATGAGAACGAGGCTGCGGAGATGTCTAAAGCACACAATGTAGACAAAATCGACCAATCCTTATTTCTCCAAATAGCAGCACAGAAGCTCCAAGACCCGGACACGGAAGCTGAGATTCAAAAGGCTTTCGAGACGTTTTTTGGTGTTGGGAAGACAACTGTTCCAGTTGATGAGTTCAAAAAGATGATGATGGATTTTGGTGAGAAAATATCTGCGGACGAGGCGGACGAGTTAATCAAAGACATCAACCCTAAGGATGGCATGATTGATATAAGCGCGTTTGTCAAAGGTGTGTTTGCCCAGAACTAACTGTATTGCTTCTACTTTTATTTTACGACCATACTTTACTCCTATATTTGAATTGTTTAATACATCAAACAAGTCAAATACTTATCTATAATATGTACTATTTTTAGATAATTAGAAATAGTAAATTTGTTATTTAAATACTAGTCTGAAGAAAGACTCTAACAACAGGGAGACTCTTTAATAACAGAGTCTTCAAGAGGAACTACATGGTCTTGTACAGGAGAATACCCCTTTGGCTGGCGTGTTGAAACCAATTTGGCAACTTCTATAAACAACTCCTCGATGTTGTACCCTAATTTTGAAGAACAAAGGATGTAAGTACACTGTATGTCCAAGCAGAAACGAGTCAACTCCTCTGTTGTAACTTCATGTGTGAGGTCCGACTTTGCGCCAACTATTATTATTGGGATGTCGTTGTCTGTGTTCAAACGAACCATATCGACCCAAAAGTCTAAGTCATTAAATGTCTCCCGATTTGAAAGGTCAAAGACTACAATAGCACCGTCACAGTCGCGAAAGTATATTGGCATCACATTCCGATACCGTTCGTCTCCACTTGTATCCCAGACATCTAATATTGTGCACTTATAGTTTGGTATTTGTCTTGAAAATGAGTTGATTTGAGCTTTATAAATAGGCGAAGAACAAACACAGAATATCGAAAATAACAAGCACCTATAGTCGGCATTGGGGTCTCTGAAAATATTTTGTCTTTCATCCACGATTGAATACAAGTCTTACCTGTTGACATGGACCCAACCAAGACCACTTTATAGGGAGTAGCAGAAAAAGTATTCATTGCAATTTTGAAGTTCTTTGAAGAGTTAAATGTTTTGGTGGAATTTCATTTTTTGGTTGGCGGTCTGATATAATTATATAATTACTATTAAAATGGTATAGAAGATAATAGATTGGATCCATTTAATCATTACCACAAGTAGTGATGAAGAGAAGTCAACCAGAACAACTCGAAAGTATCATCGACAAATACACAACAAGCTTTAAAACCCTGCCAACGGACTTAAAAGGTGAAAATTTGGAGTTATATTGCTATGACCTTATTAACTCGGTGAATGCGCTCTCGTCGGGTATGACGAGTGATTTGGTCGATATCCTTCAAAAGAAAGGGATTATGCCGATCCTTTACGAACAACTGTTGAACGACAAGACCCGCGAGATGCTCCACGCCGATTTGCTTTCTTTCATTCATGTGATGTATTTGAAATTGGAAGACATCTTGGCAAAACAAGACAAGCTTCTTATTTTATTGATTAACGAATTGGTCCAACTTAAAGACATTAAAGAAGACCAAACAGACGAAACATTGTTGTTGTCAGCATTAACAACTTTGTTAGCAGACTTCTGCGAGTACTCTCCAGAGTACTCTTCCACTGTCACCACTTCTCAAGTCTTAGTCCCACTCATTCACATGTTAAACCCTACCACCTTCCCATACTCAATCCCTATTAGCTCCGCAAGGTTACTCATCGTATTGACAGACGATAACCAACTCTTCACAGAAATGTTGACACAGAAAGTCCCAAATTACTTTGATATCTTGACTGGACTCTGTAAAGCAGACTATCCCGACTTTCTTAAAATATACTACGCCACTATTCTGAATAACATTCACCCAATCATGAACAAAACCCTCCCTTCGATCCTCCCAGTACTCGAGAAGTTAATAAAAGCTGAGGTACTCGAGAATTATAACAAAACTCGAGATATCGGGAAGGACACCCCAGACATCTTTATTATCAAAAATGAAGAGAAAGACAACGCTACAAAACTTGCAGAAGCTTTGAAGATTGCTCTCGAGTTACTCACAAACGTCTCGACATTCGACGAAAAACCAAATGGTGAGATCAAAAAGTATCTCGAGACCTCACAAGCGATTGGAGTTTTGTGTGAATTGGTCAAGACAAAAGCGGTTCATGACACTTTTATGGTGTCGTTGATCGAAACGGCATTCAGTTGTTTAAACAATGCACTTCTTGTGGTCGACCCCAGCTTCCAAATTACTATCGAAGATAAGAAAGTGTTGCTTTCGGACACACTCTATTTGGTTCTAAAAGACGTCATTAAGGAGAACGCAGACCCGCAAAATGACTCAGTGAAACAAACTCTGTTAGACGGTGCTTTGATGTGTCTCCACAGACTCTTGTTGAAAGAAACTCGAGCGCTTCCTGTCAGTGCATTTGAAATTGTTTGGACCATCATCGAAAAGTACTCCAAATATGCACAAGACAAGCTCCAAATGGACGGACAGACTGTCTGCACTTTATCATATATCTGTTCTATACTTGGGAAACTCAAAGATGCTCCGTTGACTCAAATCGCCGTCTTTGTGAAGAACGCACTCCAAGTAACTTTAATGGAATCCACGGAAGTTCTGTACGATGCAATTCTGAATGTGGTAGTTGATGTGTTCCCAGAAGTGGAGTGCAACGCTGTTTTAATTCAAACTGAGTTGTACAAAATAGTGAAAGAGCACTACAAAGCCTTCATGAACTACGTTTGTTTTTATCTAGTTTAATTCTACTATATTTACTATAATTTTACTCTATAATTGTTTAAGGTCTAACAATAACATTTTTAGTCTTTGGAACACATCAGAGAGGACGACAACTCTCTCGAGGAGGTCATCAACAATTTGGAGAACTTCATTGAGTACAAAAGTAAGCAAGGTCTTTGATTGATTGTTATCTTTAAACAAATATTATATATATAGTATATAATACTATATATAAATAGTACCGTATTTGAATTATTGTTTCTTTAAATTTATTGTAACAAGTGAAGAAAAGATGTCAGTAAAACAATCAAATTAGTCTCATCCCATTAAGTGTTAATAGTCTCCTGATGGCCACAATTTGGACATTCGTAGTAGACAGTCTGACCTTCATCAACGGAACGGACTTGAGCGGAGTGGTAATGCATTGTCTCGTTTCCACAAGCAGGGCATTTTTCATAGACAATAGCCCCTGTTGGGAGAATTTCTTTGATTTTGTTGTCGATATGTTTTTTACTGTTGACTTGGTAATTTGAAGATGTTGTTTCGATGGGCTCATACTTGAATGCTTAAAGTCATATAATGTTATTACCACTGATGTAGGACTCGAATAAACCATTTAAAAACAAACTATTTCCTTTAATAACAAGGCCGCATACTTCACATGTAATGTCTCCTTGAATACTCAATATCAAATAAGCTCCACACCGAGGGCAAAAACTCGACGGAATGTTGTCTACTACTGTTTCCCATGTGCTCATCGTTTCAAAAGTAAAATTCGTAGTTTTTTAATTTTTACTGTGTGAAACCCTTTTTTCTTTTTTTGTTGCATATTCAACTAGTAAAATAGTATAATAAAAATACTATAAATGTTACTATAAAAATATGATGAATTACTTAGTGTCTACTTCGGTACAATTTGTGTTTTGTTGTTCAATGCATTCACAATGGCACTGTGGGTCATTCAATTGTTTGATTAAGTTGCTGTAATTCTCTACAACCAAATTTTGAACACGTTTTTGTTCAGCTTTAAATTCGTCCTTCATCTTTTGATTCTCTTCAGCCAACACCAAATTTTTCTTCAAAAGCTCAGCCTTTTCCGCTTTTAGTTGTGCCAATTGCATCTCAAACATTCTTGCTCTGTCGGTTTCTGCTTTCATACAGTCTTTTGCATGAAGAAGAATTTTTAACTTGAGAAGTTCCATGATCGGATCTGATGATGGCGCTTTATTAATTGGCGTTTTTTGTTTGACATCTGCGTCCATCTTACCATCAACCCATTCCATCATCTCTGCTATAAAGTGGGTGTTTTCATTCGACATTTTTGGGATGGTTTCAATTGGCTTCACTGTGAACGAAGGAATCGACATTGTTGTGCTTTTGATTTTTGAATTCCGTCGCTTTTTATTTTCAAGATTGAGGTTTCCAATGATAGAAATCAGATGCAAAACATCATTGCTGTTTTGTAATTTAAATATAGTAAATAAAATTATACAAAATAGTACACCATTTTACATTTGAAGAAGAAGAAATGGACACTATTAGTTTGTTAATAGTAAAAGTATGGTACAATGCATAACAAATCAATCAATAAAATGCTTTTAAAGCACACCCCAAAGCTCTTCGAATGCGCCACAAACCTTTCCAGCGACGCAAGCGGCTGAGAGTGGGTAGTTTGAAACAGAGAGAGAGACGTTAGTGTAATCGACATTAATATGACCATGTGCAAAACATCCGATAACAAATACTGCAGAGGAGTCGTCTTTGACTATTTCTGCAACACTTTTGTTGATGTTGACCATTTTCTCAGCGGCGTATGAAAGACCAATAACTTTAGCCCCTGGGGGGAAGTATTGTGTCACTGGGTTCTTCACTATTTTCATCAACTTATCTGGTCCGTCAGAAGCGTGAATACTCAATTTGTGGAGCAGTTGAACCATTAACCCATCAAATCGTTTATAAGTACGTGGTAAACGGATTTGTGGGTTGACTTCTATCAAAATGTTTTCATCAGTTCGAATGTATATCTGAAGTAAGCCAGCTTTATTCAGTGGACTGTCGAGGAGGGTCAGAAGTGTCTGTCTGTGAATATGGTATTGAAACTATAAAATATAATATTTTTGTTATTCATGTATAGTTTATCAAAGAGAATGAACACAACAAGAAGACAAACGTAGTGCAAAATATCGGGACGAAAGATCGTTGTGTCTTTCCCTTTCTTTTGGAATTCTTTGAGTGTGTTTGGCGAATCAGTAGAGGCAAGTTTGTACTTGTCACCAACTTTGACCGATCGAATTGGAGCGTTCTCAAGAACTACAACAAGACGCTTCCAGTCCAGAATCTCGACTTTGTTCTTTGGGATTGTGACTTTCGTTGTTGACATTGCTTTATTGGTTTTCAATAAAAAGAAAGAACCCTACTTTGATTATCTATTTATACTTGGACTTCCATTTCTACTTCAATAACGGTATTATTTTAACGAGTTAAATTGTATAGTTTTTTAAATCATAAAAAACTATACCATGTATTATAACAGTAATTTAAAAAATATAGTTAAATAGAACTATAATGCACCACACGAAAATGATAAAAATTATTTGTAACAAAAAAAATTTGAATCATAAAGAAATGCGGTATTTTATTTTTCGACCCAAAAGTGTAGTTTGAGACTTAATCTTACGAATAAGACTGAAAAAAGTATATAAAAACAAAGAAACGATTTAATGAAACACTTTTGACTTGAAAATCGAACTTGAATAATTAAAAAGAAGTCGAGAAAGTATAGATTTTTAAATTAGCCACAAAACTAGTCCACTTTTTTAAAAAATATAAAAGAACGATTATAAAACTCTTATCAGAAGAGATGGACTCAATCTATGACAAAGAATTTGAAGAAGCAGCGAAGGTGTTTTTTGGGGAAATGGGGAAGTACGTGGAAAAAATGACCGACTACAGGCGCGAGGAACGCAACGCAAAACTGAAGGCGGACACTCTTAATGCGGAGGACAAGCGTTCAAAGGAAGATGTCCGTCGGGAGATCGACACCAATTTTTCAAAGTATTCCCAAACGGTCCTTGCAGTGACTGCAGTGAGTGATATAGTAGATTCCCTTTCAAATGTTCTTGGCGATCTGAAGGCAATAGTGGAGTTCGAAGGGAAAAAAGTCCTTGAAACGCGACAGAAGATCAACACTGACGTCGACAAACTGAAAACCCTTGATGCCACTTTTACCGGTAAAAAATTGACTCAACTGTATGTCACGGGAGATTTGACTGGATTAATCCCTTGGAACAAAGAGCTCTTCAAAGAAACGCAGAAGCCCCTCCAAACGGAGACAAAGGAGGAGAGGCCCAAATTTTTTGATTCTCCTCAAACAAAACAAGACCAACAAGATAAAGAGAAGAGAGTGGAGGAAGCAAATAAAGCTGAACACAAAGAAGAACGGACGCATCCAACAGGGTATTCCATGAAAAAGAGTACGCCACTGAGTGAAAGAAAAAGTGGCACTGAACAAAAGGAAGAGAGTCAAAAAACTGGTGAGAAGGAAAAGACGGAGAATAAGGGCAAACCTAAAGAGGCAAAATATAAACAAACAAAGGCCACACGCGTTACCAAAGAACCTAAAGAAGACACAAAAGAGAAGAATAAAGAAAACACAGGAGACCAACACCGCTGTAGTAAAGCCGAAGTCTTAGAGCCGAAGTTTTTGAAACACACATGTCTTCCATTGATCAAAGATTGGATTCACTTGAGAAGGCACCAACTCTTATTCAACGCGTGCGAGAGATTTGACATTGAAGAGTTCTGGAAAGCAGTTGAAGGGAAGTCTAACGTTGCGATAGTTGTGATGAACAACGACGAAGTCTTTGGAGTGTTTTCGCAAAGCCAACTCATGAAAGGGAAGTGGACTGTCGACTATTATCACTTCGCATTTAACATCGCAAGAAAATGCAATGTAATTAACAGACTAATGTATGGGATTGATGGGAAGGAAGGTGTCTCTATTGGAGACAAAGACGTTGTATTTGAGTTTGGGAATCCACAGATTGGGAGCGTCAAAGTTGCGATGGTAGGGGAGTATGGAAAGATCGTGAATGGCGAGAAGACATACAAGTTCTCAGACAATACCATTCTTGGCGACGAACAATTCAAGGTGAACCAAATTGTAGCGTACCAGTTCAATTGATTTATGTTATTGAGAAACTTTTTTCGGGTTGGTTTATTGTTGTTGTCTGTGTTGGTTAGTGTGAAGCGATTTGGTAGAGGTGTTGTAACCACAAATAAATTGAATCAAATGATTGTGACATTAACTTGAATGAGGTCTTTGTATAAGTTGTGTGTCCAGAAGTCGTAAAAGATGATGGAGTAACTGTTCCTTTTCACATCGACAGGGAGAGGAAGTATGACAGGGATGTCGACGACTTGTGGGGTGTTGACTTTGGGTGGTATTTCCTTCAGAACAATTTCTTCAAAGCCAAAGTTGTCTTCAAACGGCAATTTCTCTTTATCAGTGCTCTTTTGGATATCTTGATGTATATTAAGTGTTGGAATACTATGGGATCTGTGTTGCAAAATGAATGGAAATACTTCAAAAGGCCAAGAAGAAGGGATTTGAACTTCTATGTTGGTAGTTACTGTATCTGGGGGTTGCCAGACGATCAATTCATTTGCTTTTTCTGTTGATACAATGGATGAGTATGACTCCACAAAAGTCGTCCAATAGAGCTTATTGTTCATTCTGAATTCTTGAATTGAATTTGGGGTCACATCTGGACAGGACCATTGAGTTAAGTCGATCACAATGATGTTTTGATCGTTATACGTCAGCCAACATCGGGAAGTGTTTGAGTCTTGTGTCAAGTCCAAATGGACATCAAAACTGTTTCGAATCCCTTTTTCAAGTGTAAGCCGCGCTTCTGAGTGGGTCGCTGCAAGTTTTTGAAGTTTTGATTTCTTGACTCTGTTTATCATATCCACCCACAATTGAGTCTCCGACTCTAATGTGTCTGAAGAAACTTCCTCAAGTAGTGTTGAAAGGGTGTTGAGACGGTTCTCTTGTGAATTGCTTTCCATTGTTTTTGTTGTTGTTTGATTTTTCTCTAACTTTGGAGACTTCACTATGATGCATTTTCTTCATTATGTATGGGTGATACTAGTTTTACTAATAAACTCAAAGTTGTATGTTATTGTTTGCACTATTTGGTCAATACCAATTCATATTGTCTATCACCTTTTTTCACTTTCTTCTTGAGTTTACACAAAACTATTTTATCTATTTCATTTTGATTTACTAACTATAATAAACATAATAATATAATATTAATAATAATAGTTGTTTTATTATAATGATATTAATATAATGAATTTGAAATAGTTTTAATATTAATCAAATAAAAAACAGATAAAACATTTTTGGTAATTTTATAGAAGATGTTATTTTTTTTACTTTTAAAAATTGTTTGTTATAAAAAAAAGTGTTTTTAAACTATAAAATAACAATTATGATACTATTCTCATTTTAATCATTTGAAACATTTAATTAGTCGAATCCAAAAATACCATACTTGATAAAAGAACTATAGAAACCATTAACAAACCAATCATTATTGAAAGAGTCTTTTTGATTAAGTCGAAAACCCAAACACAAAACACAAAATACAAAAACGAAGAGATGGAGAGTGTTGCAGCTACATTAGTTCAGTCACGAATCCGTGGGTATATAGTCCGTCGTTTACACAACAAGAATACACTTTTTCGGCGATACTGTGTGATTAAGGAGTTAAGTGAAACTGAAGTTTCCTTCACTGAAAGTATGCGGAAACTCTACATGTATTTTGAAAAGCCATTAAAAGAGTTGAGTCATAAACCCGGTTGTGTAGTTATCCCCGAGTTACTCATAGGAAGTGTTTTTCCACGTGTTGAAAAAGTCTTTATCAATGGGTGTGTTATAAGCAATGCGTTGGAAGACTTAAAAGTCCATTGGAAATACGACAACATGGTCACTCCGACTCTAAAGAAGTGTTTAAACTTGTTACTGCCTTTATCTGAATATACATTACTCTTCGAGTCACAGAAGAAATGTCTACAAACAGCAAATAAGATACGTGGGTTCAAGGAGTTTGTCATACGGCAATCGATGCACAAAGAGTTGTTGAACCTTTCATTCAATGATCTTACTATCATGTTTGTGACTCACTTCTCCTATTCAAACTTAAAATTTATTAATAATAAATAGGCCAGTACAACGGTTAATGCGATATCCTATACTCATCAAAGAACTCATTAAAGCGACTCCACAGACACACCCCGAGTACAACGAAATTATTAAAACACAAGAACTCTTTGAGCGCTTCATAGTGAATGTAAATAATGAGAGTAAAATGCACGACTACATGTTAGAAGCATCTTCATGTGTATGTTCTGTGGAAAACATGGTTCAGTCGTGGAGGTGTTGTTTGTTCTATGGACTGGCCTTAGTTAACTCCCCAACAAATTATTCATATGTCTTTGTGTTTAACGACCGAATCGCTTATTATAACGATATTTGTATGTTCTCATTCGGTAAGAAGAAGAGGTACTATTTGAGACATTCCAATTCACAAGTCATTCGATTTATAGACGTCAAAAAATTTGGTCCATCTGCCGACACACCAAGACAATATGAAATATACATTGGAGAATCAGTCGACTTCATTACTATCCCACCAGAAGAGAATTACGAACAGTGGACAAACACCCTCAACACCGCGATAAGTCAGTTTAGTAAGGACTATAAGAGGTACTAAATGTTCTTTATTTTTATAACTCAGTTTCATTTGGTTGTATTATTATACTATTATTATATTACTATTATACTATTATCATAGTTACTATATATAGACTAGACTCCACATTTCTAGACTCCATTTCAATCAAGTTAGTTACAACTATTAATAAAATATACTATATAATTAATCCACGTTTTGATTCACAATGAATGGTATAAATTGTTAATAATTTATTATAAATAAATGGTAAATGGATTACAATAAAAATAGAACGACAGTTAAGGCAATTGAACTAAGTAGGGTTTAATAAAATAGGAAACGACAAATCTGAAAAGAATAATGAACAGGTCGAAGAGAATACGTGAAATGACTCCCGAACAGGAGCGAGCAGAGAAAAAAGCAATAAAGGCACTGGGCCCCAAAAAGGCACGGTTAATCAATCGAGAGGGGAATTTCTTCAAACACCAACGAGCAAAAAATGAACACAAGATGTTACGAACAAGACTGATCCGAGCTGGAAAGGTGAAGAGACAAGAGCCTGTTACCATTGAACAAAAACGGATCAGAGACGAGTCAACAGTCGACTTTAAAGAAGACAAAGAAGCGGTAGATGATATCAATGAAGATGAATTTACAGCTTATTACCAAGGGAAATCGCCCAAAATTATAGTGACGACGACAATCAAACCAAATAAAGTGACAAATAAGTTTGCTATTATGATGTCGCACGTGTTTTACAATGCAAAGTATTTTAAACGAGGGTATAACACCGTCAAAGTGATCATGAAGTATGCTCAGAGATATGGTTACACTGATATAGTCATATGTAATGACAATCACAAAACATGCAGTTTGTAATATTTCTATTCTATTAAGAAATTTATAGTATGACGAATCCATCCATTTGATTTGAATAGTTTATAGTTTTGAATCCAAAGTTTGGGTAAGATATATTATTATGTATTATTATAAGATAATAACACATAGCGGACTTGTATGTCATTCATTTGCCTATTGGTCCGTCTTTCCATTTCAAAGTGTTTAATATCATCAACCCACAACAATTGCAAGACCACGTCAGAATCGCTTCGTGGAAATTGCCGTGTGAATGTTTGACTACAGGGTTTGAGACACGGACAGGTATCATGGTCGCCCGTCAGTTCAACAGTCTTTTCTCACAGAAGCCAATGTTCACTGGAAGACGTGTCGTCACGTTACACACACAACGAGATTACATCTTCTTTAGACATCACATCTATCAGTTCGAAGAAGCTGAAGACCAATTCGACAAGAAAAAAGGTCCTGTGAAATGTACGATTGACGAACTTGGACCACGTTTTGTTTTGAAGCTCCGAACTATTCAAAAGGGGACAATGAACACCATCAACCCCGAGTATATTTACCACAGAAATATCGACAGAACAGATCCAAACGATACACACAAGAAGAGACTCATGCTTTAATACGATTGGTTTTATTGTTATCTTCTATCTATTCAAATTGTAACTAATAACCAATTAAATTAATACTATTACAAATTCTTATGACTGATATAATAAAATTAATAATTCTATTATTAGTATTTATAGAACTACTGTGTTACAATAAAAAAACTCAAATTAACGGGATTACTCCTCAAAAAAAAGTCTAACAAAAAAAGATAAGAAAACCTTAACATAGTCGGATGGAGGAAGAACAACAAATCCTCACTTTACTTCAAACATTAACTTGCCCGTGCAACCCAGATACTCGACAAAATGCAGAACAAATGTTACTTAACTCCCTCCCAAGGTCACTTCCTTTATTATTAAATATCGCGCTTAACAATACTCTAGACATTCCTCAAAGATTATTGGCGGCTATTGTCTGTAAGAATTCCGTCTTGGACAAACACCTTCCACCAAATGACATCTCTTTGTGTGTCCAACAAGTGATGTCCAATATTCAAACATGCCCAAGTCGAATATTCACAATGCTCTGCTTCTTCTTGGAAGCTCTAACAAGACCAGACAAACCCGCGCGAAATGTTTTACTCCAACAAGTCGTTCAACAACTCCCAAACTCTCTTCCTATTTTAGAAGCGTTGTTGTGTTACACATTTATCGACTCAGCAGCACTGACCCTTTTAAGTGAGAAGAATGGGTGTTGCTCTAAATTGGTGCAAATCTCATTGTCACACCAAAGTCCATCTGCCCTCAAAATCCTCTCGTCAATCATTTCATTCGCATTACTTGAAAACCAAAACTTTTTGTCAAACGAAAGCTTTGTGATGCTCCCGACAGCCATTATCGACTCAATTCAATCGGACAATCTATTGATAGCATACCACGCGTTATCACTGCTCCGCGTGTTATTGTCGGACGCTCCACATTTGTTCCAAAACGACTTCGATAAGTACATCACCGCTCTGGTCATTTTATCGCAGAATTTGATCGACAAACAACAGCAGAATTTTTGGGGACAAATCGTCGTGCCTGCTGACTTCCCCTTTGATTTGAAAGATGCCGTGTTGATCTCTTTAGTCGACAATTTTAGTGCACTTGCCGCACTCGATTTACTCGCAAAAAGCCAAACTCGGAAAATTAACGACATCGTGACGCTTGTTGTACGGTTGTTGTGCTCACCAACACACGACTGGAACTTTTCATTTGATGTGTTGTCGCACAACGCAGCACACAACGTGTTACAAACGCAGTCCAACACTTTACCAGAGGCGGGTATTTTATTCATACACAACATCGTGTTGCGACAGTCGGTCCCTGTTGCTGTGTTATTCGCATCAAGTTTTCAATTATTGGAACAAGGCGACTCATTACTTCAAATGCACAAGAGGAACTTCGTCAATTTCCGAGGGACGGGATTACTGATTTTGTCGATCTGTGGAATGTACTTGTCCAACGCTCATGTTCACATTCAAAAAGAGGCAAACGCGCTGATCACCAGTATTATCAGATCGGACTTCCAGTTACTTGAACTACTCACAACAGAAGATTTTGCGTGTCACGACATAGCTTATTCTTTATTGTGTATATCGTCAATTTTACCATCAGCTACATACCAAGACATGGCTCTTTTCTTGTCAGCCCTTTCAGTGTCCTATCAAAAGTTAGTTGAATGTCCGATGGTCCTCCCCTATTTAATGCATTTACTGACTCATTGCTTGACCATCCAAGACTTCACTATCTCACCGTTTTACACTTCTTTCTTCTCGGCATTATTAAACACATTAGCATTACCAATCGACGAAGTGGTCTTTGTCTTGGACACACTTGCAGCATATTCAAAATTCTTCCCCGCCGCAGGGACACTCTTCCAACCACTTGTCGCAAGCATACTCAGGTGTTTTCTTCGTAATCCAGTGTCGCCTAATGTGCGTGCGTTGATGTTATCGATCTTCACAAATTTGTTCAACAATCGCTCCGTTTTCCTTCGCATTTCCGAATTTTTGTTTCCCCCTCTTCCAACCGTCTTTGCGTTCTGTGCACGACAGTCGAGTGATTATGCACTGCAGACTGCTCTTATGCTTGCAAAATTGATTGTTCAGTATTCAATGGCTCTTGGCACAGAGTTAAAGCAGCTTTTGCTTCTTGTTCTCTCTGCAAGCAAAGCGTCTGTCAACTGTATGGAACTCTCTGTTGATGTTTTGTTTGAGGTGATCAAGAAGTATAACAACCTCCTTGAAAATGAAGATGGCACGGCGATCATCACGGGGATTCTCCAAGTGCTTGAAGAAGGTGCGCAAATAGGTCTAAACGGTGAAGAGAATTTACTCAAAAAAGTGTGTAGTGTTTTAATGCTTCTCTCGGTCTCTTATGGCGAGAAGGTTGGGGAGTGGATATTGAAAATAGGGTTGAACGCGGAGGACAAATTGAATTGTGAGTTGGAGTGTGTAGTTGCCCGAGCGGTTATTGGGTGGAAGAATTGGAAAGAGAAGGGGAGTTCCATAGCGCCTCTGTTATTGAAAAAGGCGGTGAAAATGCATGACGAGATAAGAAACAAAGGGGTGTATTTTGGGAAGATTCATGGGATGTACATTGGGTCGTTGGTTGAAGTCGAAGAAGTCGACAGTCAATTGAATTCCAAAGGTATCCCAATTACAATTGAAGGACTCTTTCTGATGTATTTAGACTTAGTTGGGATGGAACAGATCTATAATAATGAAAGAGAACGGATGGAAGGTTTGTTTTATATTTTAGTTGTTGAATACCAATGAAATAAAACATAGAAAATCGGGACGGGAATAAAATGAGTGATGAAGACAGCGACTCTGAGGATGATTGGGACAGTGACGATGGACTTACCACCACACTGTCAGAAAATCATTTGGAAATGTCAGAGGCCTTACAGAACCAAGAGCTTGAGTTAGTTTCCAGAGATGACTTGTTTTACTCAAGTTACAAAGACTACCTAGTTGCGTATTTCAACAGACTTAAAAATACACCAAGTCAAAGACTTCAACGAATACAGCAATGGGCTCTTTCGTTCAACAAGTCGTTTTATTATGCTTTATTGAATTGAATCATTTCCATAGTTGGGTATCTATTGTGAGATGGTTATTTATAGGAAACTATAAGTAAGTTCTCTAAATATTATAAATACTATATTATGTATTCTATAATTATAAAGAAACTATTTGACTATTCACCGGAAATATCTTTCATTCAAATTTATCATTTTTTAGAGTATTATAATATAATTATTATAAAATAGAATTAAGTACTACTTATAATCATTTCTTCTCTTCTTCTGAACTTGGTGTTTGGCAATTTGCAAGTATTAGTGGCTGTTTTGTTTGTGCTTTAACATCACTTGGTGGTGATGGTGTGATGAGTTCTTTTCTGACTATTGGCGCGAATATTTTATCGACGTCACTGCTTGATTGTTTGAGAGTATCAGCTGGGGATGCTGGTGAGAAGGCATAGTCTTTAGTTTCAGTATTCATTTCCGTTGGAGTAGCAACACCAGACAACTCTATTTCCTTTTCTTTCAAAGACTTTTCTTCTGGGTTTTGCTCATCTTCAAATGACGATTTCGATGGTATAAATAATGTAAAGAAGATGCCAACTATCATCAAAGCAGCGCAGAAGTAAAAAGTGTTACCAACACCAAATCTTTCAGCAAACGGATTGAATATTGCAGTTCCAATCATCGCGCCGACTTTTCCAGAAGCTGCACTTAGCCCTGAGAAAGTTGCTCTTATCTTCGAGTCATAGACTTCTGTTGATAATATATAAGTCATCGTATTTGGTCCCAAATTTTGGAAGAAGAATGAAAGGCCCCGTATATCACCACATATAAATATTTCACCTTTTGAATGATCAAATCCCCACAAGATGCCATTATAATATAACATAATGCAGTCCCAAAGAACCCACCCATCTGCAACCACTTCTTATTGATTCTATTGATAACAAAATATGCAACAATGAACCCTGGAAAGGCTACGGATGTTAATATTATGTTTCCAATTGAGTTAGTGATTAACGAAGCTCGTTGGTCTTCCGCGTTCGAAGACTCTCCACCAGCAAATCCGATGATTTGGAGAATACTCGCGTTGCTCATAGAGTTTCCATAAAATGCGATATCAAACAAGAACCACGTCCCAGCAGTCCCCAAAAGTGGTTTCCAGTTGTGTACTAACACCTTTTTTAAATTGATCTTTTGCTTATTAGTCGTGTGCGCTTTATTGGGGAAGTCCAATGAGAACCGGAAGTATAATGTTAGTAAACACGGTATTGCACCTAACGCAAAAGCTACTCTCCAGACATAATCTAAGTTCATTGGAATGTATAACAACACCATTACCACAACAGGTGCTATCAAGTTACCTATCCCTCTCATTGTAAAAATAAAAACCATTTTCTTGCCACGTGTACTTTTGGTCGAGGACTCCGCTGTTATTGTCGAACTTAAGGGGTACTCCCCTCCTATCCCAAGTCCTAGGAAAAATCTAATAATAGAAAGACCAACGTACGGGGCAGCAAAAATGATTGGAAAGACAAAAGCAGACGCAACCGAGAAGAAGATCAGAAAAATGGCAGTCACTATAAACATGGGCTTTCGGCCAATGGCATCACCTAAGAACCCAAATATCAATTGACCAAGTGCCATCCCTATTAATACTGTTGTGGTTAATGTGGAGGAGTAACTTGTCTTTCCATATATGTCTGAAAGAATTACAGAAACCATATTCATTAAAAAGACTTCATACGAGTCGGTCAACATCCCAACGGAGACAACGGAAGTCTTCAAAAATGAGACAAACTTACTCATGAATAGTTTTTCTGTGTATTTAAGTTTTCTATCATCGTTATATTTATGTTTCTTCTTATTTTTTTCTTTGGACTTGGAATTTATAACTCAGTATGTGTATTTTTAATTAAATTTCTTATTAAATTTCTTTGGAAAAGTTTTAAACCCGAGTTACTTTATTTATTATTGTTTTACTATCACATTTAGTATTGGTTTATATATTAATGTTTTAATTTGCTTATTAAAAAAACTTTTAAAACTGTTATTTCGGGATATTAAGGCTAATTATATTGTGTAAAAAAAATGGAAATTGAAGCTTCGACGAAATAACAGGAGACGAAAATGTCATTAAGAAAAAAAAGATAGATTTAAATAATATAGTTATTAGTATAAATTATTATGATATTTACTATAATAATTTGAAAAGAACTATTAAACCATTTTTTAATTAATATTAACAACAAAAGAATCATCCAAAGATCTTTATTTTTCAACAAATTTTAGTCAAAAAAATGAAATTTTGAAAACATCAAAGTTTCAAACTTGATCTAAGAACTCGAAATTGAACATCAAACAACACACATAACAAATGAATTAGAACAGATTAATAATTATTTACTTCATAGAGTCTGACTGACTGAGGGATGGGGAAGTCCATTAAATTGGGGCAGTGGACCACCCGTAAGAATTGGAGTTGGAACAAATACTCAATCTTGTTGAGTGATCTTAAATTGTTACACCCACTAATGCATACTGAGCACAACGTACTTGGTAGACTTAAACTTTGAACGTTTCCACAAGAATCAAAGACGAGTGAAGTCAGTTTGGCAACGTCGATATTAATTACTGTATTCAAATTATACGCCCCTTTACACACCAAATTCTGCAATGAGAACGGCACTTGCAACACTTCAAGACTCAGACAATCTTCGATGTCTAAAGCATAGACTTCCGAATTTGGCATATGTGCTATTGCAGTAAGGAATGGAATACTTTTGAGTGTTAATGTCTGCATTATAGGTGGCGGGGAGAGTGTCTCCATTGCATCGCAATGGTCGATCTCCAACAAAGTCAACAGTTGACAAGACTTCAATGAAAAGAAGTTTGGAATGAACGAGTCAAACACTTTTAATGAGATCAAAGACGTAGGTACAACAAACCCATTTTTGGTTCGCACTTTGTGTACTTCGAGTCTTTTCAGGAATTTGTCTGGTAAGAAGTCCAAACTTTCTATTTCAGGCATTGAGAGGATAGTCAAATGCGCCAAATTTGGTGGGAATGTGAGTTGTGTAGTGCTGCAATATAATTCCAATGCAGTCAACTCATTGAATTTGTCCAATACCAAGTTTTGAGTCAATGGAGAAAGGGACAACGATGCAAGTGACAACGTATTTGGCATCGTCAAATGTTCAACATCACCAAATAACTTGAGTTGAGTCAATTGTGTGTGATTTGAGAGTTGCATGTCAGGTAACGAGTCACAATGTTTGACAAATATGTTCTGTAATGTGAAAGGTAGTATTGCACTCTCAATACCACTGCAGTCGTTCAGTTCAATTCGTGATAAACAACAAAGTTCTTCCAAGTTGTGTATTTCGCGCAGTAACGGACACCCTTTCATTCGTAAACTGACGACTGACGTTGGTAGAATAATCCGTGGGATGTCTACACAGTCCAAAACTTCGACGTTTGTAAGAAGTGAGTACTTGTGAAGGCGGTATAAGTCAAAGTACTTATCGCAGACGTTCTCGATCTTTAAAGACGCCAATGTCGATGGTAAGACCATTTCATTCAGCTTCATCATGTTTTTCATTGAGAAGTCTTTTAATTGTATTTCCCCGATATTCCAAAAGCTTTTTCAAAACGGTCGTTTCTTTCAATTCGACGTGGAGTACCTCTAAGTTGGTAGGCATACAAATGACGTTAACGTCTCGACACTACAATGCAACTCCATCAATTTCAGTGTCTTGAAGATATCATATGTCCACGTCTTCTGCTCTGGAATGCTTGTTTCGAAATACTCAAGTTCTTCCAAAGCCTGGAAGAACCACGGTCTTTGTATTAACTGTCCTTCTAACTCGATTCTTCTGATCAGTGGAAGTTTGAAAAAGATCTTGTGTCCCTTATCAGCCGTACAATTTCTGATGCCAAAGATGGTGATCGCATACAGCACAAAAATCGACCGCCACATAGCGATTTCCTTTGTCCCAACCGACAGTGTGATTCCACTTAAGACGTTTTTGTATAACACAATTTGTGTTGAGAGCAAATTGACATCGCCGTCAGTGATTTTCGTGTTTGTCAAGAAGTACATCATGTTCCTTGGTGTGTTACTAATACTTTGTTGCACCAACTCAGTGTTAGAATTTGACTTCAAAAAACATATTCCCTGACCCCTCCACTTGCCAAAGACGCTTTTCATGACATTATGTGCTTCCACGTCAAACTCCTGTAACACCATTACTTTAACGTATGAAGAGAGTAACAAGTTTTTGATCTCCTCTTCAGACCTGATAGTGTAATCGTCCGCGTAAAACAGTAAATCGGCGCACAGTTCCATTCGCCTTAAATTGGTGAAGCAACACATTTGGCCAATGAGTAAATACACGTTGGTAGTTCTTCTCAACCCCGTGATGGTGATGGCATGGATCAATGGCCAGACAGCGGGATGAATGACTAATGCCTCTTCTGGTGTATCTTTGTCGATCACTAAACTGATCGAAGCAATGCCTTGAAGCTTGCTTTGCCACACCAAAATACCAAGTTTCTTAATAGAGTCGGTGGAGATGATGACGGACGTGATGGTGGGGAAGATCTCTGTGAAATGTGGACAAAACGGAATTTGCGTTGGGTGTCGCGTCGAAAATAGTGCGCGACGGTATCGGGTGCTGACTTGAGTTAACTTTTCCACGACAGACAACTCACTGATAAAGGATGCGGTGATTTGGATCGATAAAGTGTCGAGCGCGGTGTACATCGCTTTGTTGTTTAACTTTAAAAGGTTCATAGAGTGCACCTTCTAATTATATAATGTCCAAAGGTGTTCAACTGCTCTTTTTGGATTCTTCTTAGACAATTCTCGTTCTGGCACACCACTTCGGATTCTCTCAAATCTCATCTCATTCATTGAACAATAATTTTATCATAATTTATGGTTTACTGATTAACAAAAAGACAAAATAGAGCGAAGTGCACTTTTACGTAAATTTCACCTTTTTGTTTTGGAATTTCAAAAAAGTGGATTCTTCTGTTCGTTATTAATCAAACTATCTTTTTGTGGCTTTTTTTTATAGTTTTTGGGGTTGAGACAATTTGGTTCGAAAAGGTTTAAATTGCCATTTTCCAGTGTTGATTTCGGCTTTTTGGAAAACAAGGTAAAAAGAAATTTCGAACTCACAAGAAGATTTGGATTCTTTTTCTCAATTTATCATAAAAAAATGTGCTATTAAAATATAATATGTTTAATTATTTTCTTTAATACAATTGTAAAAAAACATCGCAAAAACAATTCCTCACTTGTCTCTATAAATAGATTTAACAACAGTAATTTTATTTAACAATTTGAAAACTATTAATTGTAATACATTTTTTGTGTTATTTAAAATTTATATTAATGTAATTAATTATAATACAGTAATAATTAAAAAATGTATTATATAAAAATTAATAATATAGTATTTACTGTATTATAAATAAATATAGTAAAACAACTAATGGCGAATGGTTTAATTAGTGATAACTGCGCTGAGGATTTGTTTAATAAGGAAATCATCTGCGTCAGTCATCTTTTTCATTTCAGTGATGAACTCCTCTTCGTCTGCTTTGATTTTCTTAACGATTTCTCGCAAGCGTGTGACGTCACTTTGGAACTTTCCATCATACTTTGCTTTATATTCCTCATAGTTCTTTTCCGCCTTTTGTTCGTCCAAAGGAAGTTTGAAGTATGATGTCCACAAACCAACCTCACGCTTTCCACTCTCTTCTGCATCACTGGCATGGCAACAATTAACTCCACCAGTGATACCAAACTTTCCTCTAATGCAGTCTTCGCCCATAGCTTTCTCAACAAAGGTCGGGCCAAGTTCTTTTCTAATGATTTTGACGGCATCTTCTCCTTCAATGACTAACACTACAACACCATTTGGATTGGTAATGGATGCTATGAGACTGGGGAAGAACTTCTTACCATCATGCTCGGCATAGTGTTGTTTAGCTAACTCGGCTGGGACGACCTCTGGCTCAAAACAGAGAAGTTTGAAGTTGGGGATCGCTTTTCTCAAGCGCTCAAGTGCGTAGATACCAGCTTGTCTAATACAAACGGCGTCTGGCTTGAATAAGACGAGAGACTTCTGCATTGCTTTTTTTTCAGATTGCGTCCCTTTAAATGCTTCTCATTTTTTCACTTCGGTTTCTTTGTATTTGGAGCACTACACCACTAATTCTTTTTATAATTAATTTATTATTCGATATAAATACTAAAACCATAATCCACTGCACTTTTGTTTTCATTGTACACACGTCTTCGAATCTCATTATTTAGTAAAAGGAATTAAAAAGAAAGAAATATTAATAAGATTGGCGTTTTTTTTGTTTAACACAATAGAATAGTTACAATTATTTCATTTCTTGTTTTCTATTTTTTTTGTCATTATTAATTATTATTAATTATAAATTGTTATTTATAATTTAATTAGTTGTGTAAGAAATCAAAACTTATCGAAGAAAGTAGATTTTGAATAGTTTTGTTTTTAACTCAAAGTATCGCTCTCTTTTTTTTCATTTTTTTATTATAATTATAATTTAATAAATATAATATAATATAAAATGAAAAAATGACAATTCAGTCTTTTGGTTTTTATTTTGACGTTTTTGTTTTCAAGTTTTTTATTATTTTAGAAACTATAATTTAATCACAAGTGTTTTTTTGGTTTTGTATTGTTTAAAATCACTAATATAACTAAATTCTTAAAAATTTCTGAAATTTTTATAATTTCTAAAAATGACCATTTGAATTTGTTATTGATTTTGTTATTTGACAACCATCGAACAGCTTAACAGTAATTTACGAGGTGTTTTTCTTTGGAGCGAATCGCGTTGGTTCCGTTTGGAACAACTTAAGTTTGAGTCCATCGAGCATAGAGAGGAGAGTAGCGACCCAGTCTGTCCACATGATGACTTGTGCTGCGAACGCGCCAATAACAATAGCAGTTGTGTAGGTACAGAACGGTATACAAATGAAAGGGATGACGACAGCGATGATATGTTTTAAGTCAAATAGACTTGGTTTCTTTCTTCCAAACAATCTGCATTGGATGACCATATCGATGTATGTCAAGGAACATGCGTATATCCACAAATTAGTGACAATATAATTAACTAGGGTTTGTTCTTTACAGAAGACATAGAAGAATGTAGCGCCAAGAATGAGTGATACACAACAATTGAACAGTAATATGATACTCTCCACTACAAAGTCTTTATTTCCGGGGAAGTTCTGTTTGATCCCAGTAACCATCACTACTGTGTGAATGACTAATAACCCAGCCAAGCATGGCACCACTAAGTCGAAAGCGGGAATCCCAAACAATGAGAAGTCTCGCATTGGGACGAAGATGTCGAAGATCACTAACCCAATGAATGCCATAATACCTTCGCATGACGCATTGACTTGACCTAAATGAATAGCGTTGGTGTATACGGCTTGTATTTGGACACAGTATGAAGTGTATACCATAAACATGATAATCATGATTTCCTTTGCTACAGAGTTACATAAGAAGATGTGGTCGATGAACGCAGTGAAACAGAAATAGGTCACATTGTCTAATGAATGATCCAACCAGTCGCCAATCGGCGAACAAATGCCAGAGGATCTTGCTCGGATGCCATCAACCGAGTCTGCCACCCAAAACCAAGCGATACTAAATGCTATGAAGAGATTCATCAAAGGCGAAAGTGGCTTGGAATAGTCTGGGTAGAGTAATGTCATTGTCAAAAAGGCAAGCAAAGGCATAACATTTCCAGAGAGTGTGATGAAATTTGGAACAATGTTTTTGGGGATAACTTTGTTGGTTGGGTTAAAAAGGTAAGGAATGTTAATATAGTTGTTAACATACGAGCAGTCTCGAGTCTTGATAGTGTAATGTTCAAGGTGGTCGGATTCCTCTTGGGATAGTTTGAAGTGGAACATAATATAAATGAATAGGGTTCTCTTTTTATTATCGATAAGAACAGTTTTGATATTACAAGACTAAAAAAATCATCTAAATGTCAGTGATTTATTATTTCGATGGGCATTTCTACTGAAATAAAAAAACCAAGAAAAAAATTGTGTAATAGAACGGGAATAATAGAATGATTGTTAATAAAGTTGTAACTGGAGGAAATAAAAAATCAAGTTTGAGAAGTTTCTAACTCGTTTTTTATAGTATTAAAAGATAAATTAAAGGCCAAATGTCCTAATATTTTCTATGTTTTTAACGTTTTAATTAGTGGACTTTTTGGTAAAAATAACTTAAATAAAAAGAGCCAACACAACACTATTCTTATCATGTTGAACAAACGGCATCTACTTTGTTTTATTTTTTTGGTGTAAAATTATAGTTTATTATATTATAAAATATTATATTATAATAACAACTGGCTAACAACAGTAAAATTTACTTTTTTGAAAACAAAAGTTAAAAAATAAAACATAAAAAAAAAACAAAAAAGACAATTTTTACACTGTGTTAAAAGTTGTTTTTTTCTTTTTGTTTATATTATAATATATAATTAATTAAATTAACTATTATGGTTTTTGACATTTCGCTTTTTCATTTGGTTGAAACAAGACAACAGCAATAGAATAAAAAATGATGTATGGAATGATTCTTCGTAGTTGTAATGTGTTTAATTGTTTTATTTAAGTCATTTATTTTGACAATTCAGGATATTTAGCCAACAAAAAAATATTAAATAATGCTGACATGGTATTACGTGTATTCAAAATTTTTAAATTTAAATTCAACAAAACCACTTGACATTTTTTTATAAGAGTTCAAATACTACTATTTCCTTTTTATTAATTTAAGTACAGTTAACGGAAAAAGTGGGATGCTGAGTAAAAGTGGGATGCTAATCTAAATATTAATTAATTTAATATTATTAATAATAAATAACTAATATAAATTTATTTTGGTTTTTTCATTTTATTAATTATTTGATTTGATTAATAATTTATATTAAAATTAATAGTAATTTTATTATTTTTTAATTGAAATTAACCAATAGTTACGAGCATCCTCCTTTTTCGAGCATCCCCATATTTCCTTATATTGTAAATCAAAGTGATAATAATATTTTTTTTTACAAACAATTATTTATGATTCAAATAATTATATTATTATAACAAATAACAAAGAATTAAATTGATTATTGATATAATATTTATAGATTAGAGTCAGTCTTTTAACGTTATCTGGTAAACAAAAAACAGGTTTAATTTTGTATAAAAATTGGGCATTAGGTAAAGCGTTAAAAAAAACCGAAACAATTAAGATTGGTTTTTGTGAAAACTTCACGAAATATTCCAATTTTTATTGTCCAAAAAGTATCAGATAACGTTTTAAGACTGACTGTACAGTAGCAGTATTTAGTGGAATGCTCGAGAAACAAGGATGCTGTTTTAAAAATAGTTTTGAAAAGGTGTTTTTCAATTAACTAATTAAAAGTGAAGTTGAATGTACTATATTAAATGGTTGTTTTAAAAATAATCAAGAAAAATAGGATGCTGTCCAAAAATAAATCTAATAAAAAATATCATTTTAACTATGTTATAATTTAAAAATCAAAACAACTCTGGAACTATAAACTAAATAAAACATGCAACAAGAAAACATGGGAAATCCATTTTCACCCGGTAATTGTGACATTCACATCGTCGTTCCTGTTTAACTCGCTGAATTATTAACACCAAAATTTGTATTTGAAAATCAATATATTATTGATGATATTGCAAACAAAAAAACATACAAAGAAATACAGCCAGGTTTAGATTTAAGTCAAATTGTAATCAATTACAACAATTTTAACTTAACACCAAGACCCAACACAACAAAACAATTCATAAACAATATTAAAATATTATTTGAAAGAATTACAATGGATGTAGATTTGTTAAATAAAATGAAAGGAGCTTATTTGAGAAATCAAATCGGGCTGATATATAACAAATACATACTTTTCGATGATTGTACTCACAGAACTTTAGCCGTGTTGTTTGATATTAATCGTGGCTTTGTTGGTAAACAAATTAACTACTACAATAAAGAGTTATTGTTTGGGAGAAATTACATTGGCAGACCTTCTCTTATAACACGTTTAACTGATATCGTTTTTAAATCATTTTTCAATATAGATGAGGTGGGATTTGATGACTACGCTGACAGGAAAAGTGTGAAAGTTCTTGTTCCAAAAAGTGTTGACATTGAAAGAGTAAAACTTGGTTACAGTCGTAGTAGAAAGAGGACGACAATTATGTGCATGATATCGTTATCTGGACAAATTTATTGTCCCGGAGCCGTTGTCTGTACAAAAAACATTCCAATTGAACTATTTAAACTGAACTGTGATGTCAGTTTTTATAGTTCAGAAAGTGGGTTCGCAACGAAAGATATTTTTACGCGTTGGTTTTGTGATAGAGTTGTACCAGCAATCACAGCAACTAAAATCAAATATGGGTTCGACATCAAAACACAGTCTCTTATTACCATGGATGGGTTTAGTGGCCATGATTTGGCTGTTTTGAACCCAATCTGTGAAGCAAACAACATCAAGATTCATTTTTATGTACCACACACTTCTCACCTTGTCCAGCCGTTGGACCTGTGTTTATTCGGCTGTGTGAAACATGGAAAGTCGTCATCAACTCCGTTATTTACGACTCAAATTGCTGCAAACGAACAACCGAGGGGCATGAGCTCATTTACAGTTGCAAGTCACCAACCAGATGATTCTTGTTTTTCACATTTCGGAGAAGCAATGAAAGAGTTGTTGTGTGAAATTGCACATTCAATAAACACGTCAAACGATGCAGTTAAACAAGGAAAGAGAGCGAAAATGGAGATAGTCTTTTAAGAACTGTGAAAGAAATACTCAATTCAATTGATTTGGCATCGACACACAAAAACATTATTGCTTCTTTTGAAAGAGGAGCCATGGTGTCAAGATTTATTGAAAACAAATGGCGTTTTTATATTGACGTGAAAAGTGCTGAAAGAGTATTGAAAGAATTTCGTGCTTATTATGATTCAAGAATTGCTTTAGATCAACACATCATGACTAAGTTGACGGCACCAAACAATTCAAAAGAAAGAATTGGAGTTGTTGACAGCAGTAATACTTTTGGATGTCAAATGAGTGAAAGTGTCAAAATGTCGTATGTTTCTTTTTTACTTCATGTGTTCAAACTGAAAATCCTTGTGTATTAAGTCACTTAGAAAACATTACATGTATTTCGAACATGTTGTACCGTAATATTTTCAATGGTTCGGCTGATGAATTAAGACTGGATGACAACTTACCAAATGAAAATGAAACGTGCGATTATTTGGAATTGTATGAAGAGGAACTACTGGAAATTGCTAATGAACCATGAAGTTATTTCTTTTGTAATTTGTGTCAAAACACTTTACTTAATTTTTTATAGCTTTTTACTCAAAATTAAATATATAAAGTGTATAATTGAATTTTTCTTTAAGAAATGATACTTTAATTTATCAAAAACAATTGCTAAATTTGTCATTGTGTAATTTTTTATTTTTAAAATGTGATTTAAAAATTTATTTTTTATTTAAAATTGACCAATTAATTGCAGCATCCTTCTTTCTCCAGCATCCTTTTATTTACTGCTACTGTACGATTATTATTCAATAAAGTAAAAGCAATAACTATTTTTAAAAATAATTATTAAAAGTTTTAAAAAGAATAAATATCAAAGTTTTCAACATTTTTACAATAAAAATATATCAATGTGTGGTTTTGACCAATCAAAAGTGGCCTACACACCGATAGAATATAATGATTTCCCAAAATTTTGGCACTAAAACCCGCAATAATAATGTCGAATGCAAATTTGTTTTAATTTCCAAGAGAGTAAAGACTTGGTAATAAAAATTAAAAAAAAGAAAAATTATCAAACAAAAATCAAATCAAAAAAGATAAGAGAAGAAAAGCAGAACATGCTCCTTTCAAAATATTGAACTTTAAATAAAATGATAATACAAAATATAATATTTTAAATAATTAATTATGATTATTCTAACCCCCCCAAAAATGATAATATAAACTAATCTCGTATTTAACAAAAGTGCTCTAACCAAACCAAGACAACCAACGATCTATACGGCCATACATTGCGGCCATACACTATTAAACAATAAAAAGACCAACTACTCAATTAAAAATTGAAAAAATATGGACCCTAAATCAGAGTCTTGACCGATAAGTTAGATTCATTTCAAATTAAGTTCTTGTTTAGTCTGGAGCAAATGCTGGAGTTGTTGCTCGACATCTTTAAATTGGTCAACAATTTGTTCGATTTCGACCTGTTTTTGAGTCAAAGTTTGTATCACGTCACCCATTCATTTTCTTCCTGTCAACACTGGTGGCACTTCTTCAAACGTTTCAATTGTTCTAATATCATAGGTTAATGGATATTCTTCATCTTGTTGTATTTGACTTTTTTCAAACAATATTTTTGTAGTTGGATCCCTAAACATAGCACGTGCCCAACAATTTGTTATTTTTTGTTGCATTGTTTTCCCAACAGCTCAATGCATTTTAAATTGCTTCATCAATTTGTATTTTGGTAATTGTGTAAACATTTCCATCCGTTTTTGCCTTTTTCCAATATTCAATACATCTCACCATCGGTTGTGTTCTGTAATGGGGTTTAAAAAAGTTGATGATATTCACATCACATGGTTGGAACTATGATGTGGTGTTGGGAGGGAGCCATTGAACTATAATATAGGTCAAACAAACTTTGTACACACGCTGATTATTGTTGTTCTTCTTGATGTATATATAGTTTGTTTCATCTTTTATTCCTTCAGTCAACTAAAACAACAATTTATGTGAAGGAGCATTGTCTACTGACAAGTAAATGAACCTGTCGAGTTTGGTAAGTTCCTTGTTTCATTGGAGTAATTATTTATGAAACGGGTTTGTTGTCATCCACGCGCTTTTCTGTGAAAAGTAGTAATCTTTTAGTTCTTGATATTTTCTTATCTAATGTGGAGTCTCTGGTTTGGTAATAAAGAGAAGTTTTTTCTTCTCACTTGACAGGGAACAACAGACCATAATTGTCAAACATTCTTTGTTTTCTTTGACGCCATGAGCCTTGATACTCTTTTTTGCAAGTGTTTTTTGGACATTACGCGGTGAAATAATGTTGTTTCATCAGCATTCCATACATCATCTGGATTGAACAACTCGATTCCATGTCTCAAAAATCCAACTCAGTTGTATATTTGTTCGTATCAATAAAATTTGCTTCACCGTGTCTTGTGGCGACAGAATTCATTTTCTTGAACATAGTTTAAAAAGCCACCTTGACAAGCATTTGAAATTTTCTATCTGATTTATTTACAGAAATCTATTGCCATTAAACGTAATAATTGACAGTTGATTGGAGTGTTGTAATCTACCAATTCATCCAAAATCAGATTATCGCTTCTTCCAACGCTGGCTGCAAAAAAACCTTTCTGTTTTTTTTTCTGTTGCTGTCTATTTCAAATTGTGATTTAAAAATTCATTTAATTGTTTCTGTTGATACTTTCCTTTTCATTTTTGTTGAAACCACATTAACCATTTCGACGACAGAAATATCTTGTTGTTCTTCGTGCCATTCAAAAACTTTTTCTTTTCAAGAATAGTTAGATGCACGTCTTCTTCTTTTTTCTTTTTCAAAAGCCATTGAAAATTAAAAGATGATAACAAAAAACACATTTCAATTCAATGTAATAGCAATGACAATGACAATATTGTTTTTAAAATGAAAACAAAGAAAACAATGTTATATACAGCAACAGCGAATGTTGAATTTGACCAAATATACAACAATATTGACTACTACACACCAATCACAACTGTATGTTTTGAAGAGATGAACATCGATTTCCACAAGTCGACAATACAACAAATTGACAAGGTATTGGAAGTCTGAGTTCTTTTCAATATACGCAGACAACCAGCTTAGTGTCTTTATCAAATATTTGAAGATGAATAAATCAATGACCTCATTCCACAACTTGTTTTGGAAGTTTGAGCTGGTTGGTATACCGCCAGCATTACGTAAAGTCCCAAAAACTGAATTCACATTTGACATTGATTCAAATGGGATTCTGAATGTCTCGACTAAAGACATGACAACAAAAAAGAAGAATAAGATCACAATCACAAACGACAAGGGAATATTTTAAAAGAGCAGATCAACAATGTGGTTGCAGACGCAAAAGAGTTCAAGGCGGAGGACCACAAGATGATAATTTTTCGAGGCTTGGAATGGATTTAAACCTTTTGCTACTATGTAATAACATAATGAACAAATAGTTTTCTTCAAGGTTATCAACAGAAGACAATGCAGCAATTGAGGCCGATGTCAAAGACGTACTTGAATTGTAGGTTGACAAGAATTGATCCACACTAAAAGTCTATGCGTTTTTTTCACACACAATGCGTTGTTTTAATTCAAAACAATTAGAAGATTTTAAAAAATTCACAACATTATTTTTTCTTTATGTTTATTTACACGTATCGTGTTTAAAAAAACAATAAATACATTTTGGTATTTTTCTTGATTGTGGATTGTTTTTCAAATTTCATCATTTTTTTTGCCAGAAATAGAAAATAGAAAATAGAAAAGAAAAAAGAAAAAAGAAAAAAGAAAAAAGAAAAAAGAAAAAAGAAAAAAGAAAAAAGAAAAAAGAAAAAAGAAAAAAGAAAAAAGAAAAAAGAAAAAAGAAAAAAGAAAAAAGAAAAAAGAAAAAAGAAAAAAATTACACATTTTGGGAAAGCAATTATCATGACTCCACACACCGTAGAATTTTTACTGTACAGACCCCTGGTCACATCAATGAAGAGATTGAGTTATTGCTGTTGTGTAACTACATCAAAATTCTCTACTATGTGCCACATTCTTCACATCTTGTACAACCACTCGACTTAGTGATGTTTGGTTTGTAGAAAAAAGACATCTTTATATCCACTTATTTGTTTAAAACACAAAACCAATTTAAACTAGCCTATTGTGACTTTAAAAAAAGATGAACGAAAAGGTTATTTCAAACATTCTTCCACCCCTTACAATGTTCAACTTGGCTTGTTGTTTGGGAATGTTTCAAATACCATTGGATGTGTCATCAAAGACATCAAAAGAATTAGTCAATGTGCATCTAATTGTCTTCACATAAAAAAATACATTCAATCATGAACAAACACTTAACAATATATAATTTTGTAATAAATTAATGGTTTAAAAAATAATTATTTTTTTTGTTTTATTATCACTTTGAAAAATAATTTAAATTTGCATTATTTTTTTTAAAACCATTAATTTATTACAAAATTACTTGTAGTATAGCGTTTGTCCACTCTTTGATTTATTTTTGGAAATAATTATATTTTTAGTAGTAAATTATAGTAATATTATAACTCTTTATATAGTTTTGAAAACGCAGCGTACATGAAAATAATATAAAAAACGTCTTTATACACAAGAAGACGCCCTTAATAGCGGGAAGACGTCCACAAACCACAAAAACGTTCTTTGGCTCATTTTCCCGTTTTTTGTCCCCATGTCCGTCCTTTCTCTTTAAAACAAACTCTTTACTATTTACCTATATAAAAAACTCAACAGTATTTGACAATTTTAAATGGGTTTTTATTAGTTTTTATAATTACTATTGAATATAATAAAAATAAACTAAAAAACATAACGAAGTAAAAATTCAATCAAATCACTTTTTTCCGTGTTTCTTGTTCTGTTGTTTGTTGTCATGCTTTCCCTTGACATCAGCCTTCTTAGTTTCCTTCTTTTCTTGGTGTTGTGGTTTCTTTTCTTCCTTTGGGACTGGTTTCTTCTCGACCTTCTTTTCCTCTTTCTTTGGGGCTTCCTTCTTTGGTGCGACCTTGACTGGAGCGGCTGGTTCTTCTTCTTCATCATCTTCCATATCTTCCATTCCTTCCATATCGTCCATGTCTTCCTCGTCCATTCCGAAGTCATCTTCTTCAATATCGAAGTTTCCAATGACGTGGATGGTTCCTTTACCCTTGACTGAGAACTCAACTTCTTCAGTCATGAATGGGATGCTCATTGAGTGCTGTGGGACAGCAGCAGAGAGGGTGCACAAGAGGACGGTGGCCTCTTCAAACTTGGCATAGAGTTGAGTGCTCTCAGAACCCTCAAGTGAGGCGTGTTGGAGAACAAAGAAAGCATTAGCTTCTTCTGGGGCAGCAACCTTGTGTGGTGCAGATGCGGTAACAGTGAATGCTTCGAGGGCCATTGTGTGATCTCTTCTTTTTTAGTGGCTTTATATATCGTTCCCCCCTTTGATTTATTGGCTTTTTTAATATTTAGATAGTTTTACTAGATAAGTACTATATTTTCCAAAGACAATATCTGGTAAATATTTAGGGTTTTAATATATACGTCAATCTATTGAGTTAATACAATTAATAATTTATACTAAAAAATATAATATTACTTGATAATATATTTTAATTGAATTATTATTAAATTATTATGATTTTTCTTTTATTATTGTCATGTAATTTATTATCTAATATTTTATTATAAAATATAGTTTACATGAAAAATATTATATAAATATAAAAATATATTATATTTATCTAGTTTTCGCTTTATTGATACTATAAAAAAATTAGTAAAAAAATTTACAAATATGAGATCAAAAAACAAAAAATACTTGTTTGAAGGAAATTGAAAAATGTCGATGCATGGCACCTTATTGAAAAAATTCCAAATAGATCCCGTTGTCAATTTTCTTAACCTTCACGCAATCACAATTTCAGTTGACGAAACTCAGGACACAACCAAAATTGACCCGGGAACAATTGTCTGTATCCTTCTTCATTCCAACCAAAAAATCCCAAATTGTTCTCTTTATAATTACGTTATAGTTCCAAATAATTATTCAATCAAAGACTTTCTCTCTCCTTTTTTGAACCAAAAACTGTGTCCACACTGCAACTCTCCGATCTCGTTCCACAAAACGTCACTCATCTTCTCAAATTACAAGATTGACGTCAAGACCGCACTCACATCGACACCCGACAAATCACTCAATTTAGTCAGATCGCGATGTCTCAAATGTCAATTGTGTTCAGAAGCGTGGCCAATTCGAAACAGTTTATATGACACACCACTTTCAGAACTATTAATTGGTCTTTCAAAAACGAATTCGCTCGAACTCCCAATGATGCCGCCCTTTGCTTGCAAACATGGACCAAACCAGATCTTGGAATTCACCGGAAATGGAGTTGCAGTCCACATCGAAGCGTCAAAGTATTCACCCTTTCAAATCTGCCGAGATAAATCGTGCGGAACGGCCGACGCCGAGAAGGAAAGTTATTTCAGTGAAATGACAAAAACGATGGGGAAAATGTCGAAAGAGATTATGGCAATGCGAAAAATCATTCCAACTGTCCAAAAGTCCTTTGAGACACGGCACAATCTCTACAACATGCTGAATGAGATGGAAACAAAATTTCTTGGGAAAATTCTTGTCAAAATCACGTTTTCTCAGCTTGTCAGATTGCAAAAAGAGTTTTTTGTCGAAACGTCGAAGATATATGAAATATTACAAGCGGAAATTCCACCCGAAGTCTTCCGCAAGAAATGCAATGAAGTGAACAGTTTTAAGAGCGAAGAAAAGGATTCCCCCGATCGGCTTTTACCTTTCAAAACACCACAAGACTTAGTTAACACACGGCAGTCTTTTAAAGGTTCAAAAACACTTTTAAATACTTCCAATACGCTTGACAAAGCAATCAATCGGAAAGTGATGGTTTTACATGTTGAAGAAGAACAAATGGACTTATCGATCATGTGGGACGACACTTTGATCTTTGAGAAGGACAATTTGTTCATCAAGTTATCTTCTAATGCGATTCCGGTTTTATTTTCGATATCACTTTTGTTTGTTGTTATTATTATATTATTATTATATATTATTATTACTATATTATTATATTATTATATTATTAATTTATTATATTATTATTACTATAATTATTAAAATTACGATAATTACTATTATTATCTCTAGTTGAAACAATATTGAAATAATAATATATTAATAAATAGAAGCGAATCGTATCGAACATTTTTAAAGTCATTCAAGGTCACACCAAAGAGCACATTTAGCGAAGACACTTTGGAAAGTATATTGACGAGTTCGACGACTCCACATTTCGATTTCAAAATTAATAAGACGGTGGGAGGACAAAGTGTAGTGTTGGAGTCTACTCTCTATTTTGCACCACAATTTCTGATGTTGAGAAATTTGTGTTATGGGAAGTACCATGCCGCAGACGTTGTTGACCAGAGCAATACCTACGAAGACGAATTTATTAAATCAATTGCTTTTATATTAGAAACTACGACGTCTGGCGGTAAGAGTAAAAGCGACTTCTATAAGAGTTACGACGAGCGGTTCTTATTGAAAGAGATGCAAACTGTTGAGCTTAAGGCGTTTTTGTTGAATGGTCCCGGGTACTTTCGATATATGAAAACCCACCACGAGAGTCTGTTAGTGCGCAACTTGGGAGTTTTCACGGCGGGAATGAAAATTGGGTCGACGAAAATCGAGAAGATCACATTTCTAGTTATGGAGAATGTGTTTTATGGGCAACACCCTAACAAAACGTATGATCTCAAAGGAACATTGAAGAAACGGACCTTAGATGAGGACGAAATGAAAGTGGGGTTGGACGGGAATTTAGTGAATTCGCTTTCGAAGAAGCCGATTGTAATAGACAAAGCGAAAAAGGAAGATATGATGGATCTGATCATCGAAGACACTAAGATGTTAGAAAAAGGGGATATTATGGACTACTCTTTGATTGTTGGGAGAGACGAAATGACACAACAGATATGTGTGGGGATTATCGACTTCTTGAGGACATTCACTTGGGACAAACAAATTGAAAGCTTTGTCAAAAAGATCATTGCTCTTGGAGAAAGTCCCACTGTTATCAACCCAGAACTGTATAGAAATAGGTTATTAGGCTTTGTCAACTCAGTATTCATGGTTATGCCTGATGTTAATTTCTTCGATTAATTTACAGTGTAGATAAGTTATGGTTAAACTATTATAAATTATTATATAATAGACTTAATAATTATATCAAGACTTAGATTATAATATAAATTTTTTATTCAATATTATTATTATTAAGTTTTAATAATTATTTAGTATTATAAAACCAGAAAAAATTAATTAACTTGTTATGTGTTATTTATTACTTCTTCACTTGTAAGTAGTTTTTATAATTAAATTTATTACAATAAGTATAATACAATTAAGGCCTCAGATAAAAAAGTCTCAGCAAAAACATAATCATCATATAACTTATTCAATATTCGATATCATAATTTAAGTTGTAATAACTACCTAATAAACAGTTAAGTGGCTCTGATAAATGCTTCACCGTTCCAAATGGGTGAAACTTTTTAATCAAAAAATTTAATTAATTTAAATAATAAAATAACAATTTAAAAAAATCTTAAAATGTTCAGTTTCAAAAACATTTTTAAGTGTTAAAATATATGGTATATTTTAGTTACATTATTATTAAATACATTAGAAGTAAAAAACCAGTCATGTATTGGTTGAAATTTTTGGTATATTTCTTGATTTTTCTCACTTTTTTGGAACTGAATTAGAATATCTTTTAGTAATTATAATTTTTTGATTCAAAACAATATTTTTAGTTTATTTTACTTTAATAAATGAAACCAAAAAAAACTGCAATGAAATTATATTATATAAAATAGTACATTTACTTACAATCTATAGTTATGTCAAGTACCAAAAACACAAATAGATAGAAGTAAAACGACTGCTTATTATAAAATGCTGTTTTACTATTGAAAACAAGACCGACTCTATAAAATAAAAGCCGAATGATAATCAACTTCTTATCATGTTTTGACGTTTTAGAGGCAAAGATTTTGATCGCCAAAAATAAACCTTAAAACTGTATTATAATTATTAATACCAACTAGTACATAAAAGGAGTGAAGTGGGTTATACCCAATTATCATCACCCAGACAATCCCTTCTTATTTACAAATGAGAGACACAACAATACAGAAACATTTAATGTACAATCGCACTATACGTTTAACATATCCCGGGGTTGGAACACCTGAGCTCGCTCACACTTAATTGGTCGTCGAGCACAAAGTCCTGTTCGGGTGTCTTCCCACTTTGTTTATCTCCTTTTCTTCGACTTCCCAATATCTCAGCTATTTCAAAGTCTGCAAACTGAGTCCCTGGTGACACGGCAACAGGGGGCAATCCATTAATAAAGTTGTCTGTTGAAGGGTCATCTAAAATTGGAGAGCAATGTCGGAGTGGAGATGGCAGTGTGTTCGTTGATTTCCATTTTCTGGAACAGTCGAGTCGTGATCGATGTGGTCTTGGAGTTAATGCCAAAGGTTGAGTTTGAGCTCAATAGTCTCAGAGTCACTCTTGAACTTTC